ACTCTAGGAGAGGACCTGTCGATGCCAGCGCTGGCGAAAGTGCACAAAAACAGCATATTAAGCCAAATGGGGAGTTACTGGTGGGAGCCATCAATTAAAGTAAAGGATAGAATGGAACGGTCTCTTGATCGTCCTTTAAAGACCAAAGGATCGTCAGCGCAGACTGTAACTTAACCACCACATGCATGAGAGTGGTGTCTCTGCTGAATGCTACAAGCTACAGCCATATGCTCTGGTGTGGGTGCCGTGTAGCCGATACAGCTGTATCGTGTTCCAGACTAGTGGCTGGCCACAGGATGCTGTCAGGGCTTTCCTTACCTCAGCCGTCTGTGGGAGGAAAGAGAAACGTGATGCCTAAATAAAGTGAAAAGATACTGTCTGCGTGTGTTTGTCTTCCAGCGTATAGGCCTGTGTGCCTGTTTACAGGGAGGACATTGAGTAAACAGCTGTATTTCAACACCATCATGGCTGTAAAGCCAGATGACTAACATGCAGTTGCTTAGAAGCGATGGGGAATATCATGTCACAATCCCATAATTTGTGGCTTCACTTTCCTTCCCCAAGCTTACAGAATGATCTCCTTTCAGCATGGAGATCACTCACTGGTGGTTTAAATGCTAACGTGTCATCATGCTAACCAGCCTCCATCTCCTCATATGGTGTCGAGAGCTGTTAGGACATGAACTGGTGTAAATCAGTCTCTCCTACGCATTCCACACCTGTCCTTGCATTACGATGGCGCAACCCTGACGACCTTTGACCAGTCTGCCTTCTCCGGGGTCTGCAGCTGCTAGCAACACCCTTTACTACGCTTGTTTCATAAGATTTATTCCTATGGAGGGCCATGATTGGTCAAAGACATGGCCTGATTCACATGATAGCGTCAATCTGAAGTGCCATGTTTGTCTTTCATTGTCATTTATTGATTAATAGTGGGAGAAAGTGAGCGGACGTATAAAATATAATAAGAATCAGATCAAGCACACCGTGAAAACTCACTATAAGTGAGTAGCTAGTTATTATAAGAGAATGCATAGAGTGAACGTTAATGCAAGCATTTGTGAGATCATTTGTCTGCCCAAGCTGAACATCTGTTAATTCTCTCACCCTCTCTGTTTCCTGTCTGTATTCCATTGGGAATCAGTTTTTAGTCTTCTTCAAAGATGTCCAGACTTGGTGTGTTGCCAAAAGACATTAGAAAAAATGCTAAACGTTTGGTTGGACTTGATTCATATCCTTCAAAGAGGCCCGAAGCCAAGTCAAAGAGTTTAACCCTTAATATACAAACGTAACTAGAACATAGCGAAGCAAATACAAGCAAGTTAGGGTTGAAAATTCCCACTTCAACTGGCAGATCCTGCCTCAAAATATGCTGAAAATGGTACCCAGTGCTTGCAAAATGAAATAATCGTGTAACTACTGTGGAGGAAGTTGGTAGCGGTGGGCGATATGAATTGCAATTTATATCGCAATGTTTTTCACTGTTTGCACAATAACAACCTAGATATACCAAAAACAATCAAGATATACCAAAAAAACATACTAACAGCACTATGACAACAGTGGCGAAGCTAAACAATACGGCGAAATCTACATCAAGCAGCAGCGTCATCCCCACATTTACTCTTATAGTTGTATATTTCCCAACCCTAGCAGCTGCTTGTGGTATCAGCACTTTCTATTTAAGGCTTGGAGAAGGTTCATTCACATTCATTCAAGACCCTACTCCTACTTCTCACTGAGAGTGTGCATGGGAAACCCCACAATGACCTGCCTCAGCCTCCTTTGAGCTGTGAATATTTTTAGAATGCCCTGAGAAGTTCGCTATGAGGGTGCGAAAGAGATTGTTAAGTCGAGTGGAGCTGTCAATTGTGTACTTAGCTTTAAGAACAGAGAGAGAGGAGTGATCAGAGCCATTGTAGGAAGGCTTATCTGAAATTTGACTGATTGTATTATTTGCACAGGCAGTTATGTTGTATTAGGTATGTTGTAACATTCATGTCTATAGAGCATTTTTAAGGTGAAGAAGGGCATTGGAACGAAACTGAGGCATATGGTCCGTGAGAACTGTTTGTGAGACAAAAGGATAGACGTAGTATATTTGTTTTACGTCAACCAAAAGGGCTTAGTGCAACTGTAGGTGTTTTGCATGTGGTGGTGGTGGTGGGGTGTGTCTTTCTACTTGTGTTTTGTGTATTGTGTCTTTGTGAGTTGTGTGTACTGCATTAATGTGTATGATGTCTGTGTTGGTTCTTTCTCAGTGTACATCATTTGAACCAAATAAATTCAACATGTTACCTTTTTCATCGTGTTCCACCAAATAAGCCACCGAACTAAGGTCTACTATTCACAGTCTGATTTTTACAGGTGAAAAAAAAAACACAAGTTTTGAAAATGAACACAAACATATGAACACAGACCTTCACATCAAATCAGAAATGGGCAGACATTAAAAATCAGCCTGATCAATCAGAGCTCTGCAGTCCAAGTAAATGTGCATCAGTAAAGCAGCAGAAAAACTCATCTTGCTGATAGTAGAGCACAACAGCTTAAACAGCAGCAAGATTTGAATGATTTTTTAAATTTAATTTTGCTTTTTGATGAGAAGAGCTACAAGCAGAAGCGGTGCTCCGAATTCCTTCCACTGACACACAAAACGATACCTTTAGAATCGCTCATTATACACCTTCAGCTCTTGCATAATGTGCTGGAACGCCCTGTGTTCTTGTGTTTTATGCAGAATGGGGTGTACCCAGTTTGTGCGGTGCCTAAAAGAGAAATGATAAATTCATTGTCGCTGCTTGAGGAGTCCATTTCATCTTCCTCTTATTCTTCCCTTGTCATTGGAGTGTTTATAAAATGCGTTGGACTTGATATGAAGGTTCCACTGCGTTAAAAACCATTTTCCATCCAAAAAAAGCATGCTTGGTGTGTTTAGGTCTTAAGAGTGAAAACTCCACACAAACAGGCCTCTTCAACTGTTGAGAGCTCGAGTGCCTTTAAAATATAACTGAATATGATTATATGTGTAGTATAAAGCTGATTCCAGGCCAGCACTGTGGTTCTGAGGGGCTTGTTTAGTGCAGTACTAATGAGTTGCAGGCACAGAAGGGAGGGGGGGGCTTGCGTGAATTTTCCTTTTCGATACTGCTTTTCGGGACCCAGATTAATCAGAGTGTTAGACTACAAAATAGAGTCAGTGCTTGACAGAGTAATTTAGTCTAAGTAAAGATCTTCTCGCCCAATTTTCTCCCAAATGTTGCTTGTTGCTAATTCCCATCTAGCCCGCCCAGATGGCACTATGTCTTGTGATCAGGCAGGTTAAAGGCTAGCATGTGCTTCCTCAGAGACACGTGTGGCCAGTCACAGCGTCTTTTTAAGCTACCCCTCATGCAACAGCTGAGCACGCATGGAGGAAAGCACCTACCGGTGAATTCTGAATATGTGACGTTGCACAGCAGTTCCCGGTCATGGCCACAGGGGGTTTTGCATACTTTTCCTGTGTCTGCTCTGCCCCCAACACACCTGATTGAATGAATCGAAGCCTAACATTTGCGTAGGTTCACTCTGATTGACAAGAAGAACTAAGCTGTCCTTTCCAGCAGGGAAAGAACATTTAGGCTAATATGCAGAACAGTTTTGCTCTCTGTGCAACTTGAATAAAGTTTAAAAGAGGCCACATCCAGAAGACATACTGAGACGTCAGCATTTAACACTGATTATTGAATACAATATTCATAAATTCAGTAATAATTGTAGTTCCACTTCTAAAATCATTGTCTGTGATACATTGGACATTTTTTTCACATTATAATGTTGTAAAATACTTCATATACACAGATATGACTGCAAGTAGGGCTGTCACGATCATTGATTTTTAGCTGACAATTAATGGTGATATAAATAATTGCAACTAAAAATGTACTAGCCTTAATGTACAAGTCTAAAGTGGCCAAAAATGCTGATTAGCCATCTCACTTTCTAGTAGTATTTAGTAGCTAATACTGGTTGAACTGTCAGAATCATGCATTACACTGTTGTTGTTGTATAAAGTTTAGCAAAGCAAATTTTTTGAGAGTAAACATATAAGTAAAAACAACCATTCTGCTAGCATACATTCTAAAATGAATGTTAGTATTAGCCACATAGCTAATAAATAAACATTATTCATGCTGCTCTTTTAACATGTTACATTCACACTTTGCTTGTTGAGGCATATTATGATTGTGAAATCCAACAACTATGTAAAATAATTGCAGTCAGCTTAGATAATTGTGATTATATACGTCAGTTTATTTTAACTGCATGCATCAATTTTGTATTAATGCATCAAATGAATAATAGCTGTTATGATTAACCGACCATTATGTTTAAGGATGTACCAATATGGTGACTGTGGGCTGATGCCAATATATGATATTTTTCATGTGCATATCTGCCAATATAGAAATTGGGAAATCTACCAAACATAAGATTTATGTCTATGGAGTTGCAAATGCACTGAAATGAATTTTAGTGTAGCAGCCTAGTGTCACCTAAACAATATGTCCTCCCAGAGTACAGTAAATATGCTGTCAAATATTGGTATGTTACCAATATATTTTAGGTAATTATCTGCCAGTACTGATAAGATTCATTATATTATTGATACGATATCATTGTGCATCCTTGATTTTGTGGCTTGGCAAACATTGTTAATGGGCTATATTGCTTGGTGAAATAATTATTTTACAACAGTACCATGGTAAAGGAGGTTTTACTACTGCTTCATGTCGTGCCTAACACCCCAACTTAACCGTGGTAACATCACTGTAACACACAGTCTTGAGTGCATTACTGCGTTATTGAATATTATATGAAATCAATACATTTCTGATTTTAGGCAGTTCACTTCTGAAACTGGCACTGATGTTGTGCATTATGGTTCAGACTTACCGTCACTGTTTTCTCACACTTACTCATCTGTTTCTCGCTCTCTCTCTATCTGTCTTTCTCTGCAGAGTGGACGATGAGGCTGTGGTGGACAGGGGAGCCTCGTACAAACACCTGTGTGATGAAGAAGAGGTTGAGGGTAAGGCTCGCACACACACACACACACACACACACACACACACACACACACACTGTCTTCATCTGTAAGAGCATAGCTTTTTGTTGTTGTTCTCTGTTTTTCAGTGGTCTTTACTGTGTTGTTTCTTTCTTCCACTTGTTGTTGTTGTTGCTTTCCTCTCTTTCATTGTTTTTCCGTTGTGGTTTTTCTTATTGTCGTTCTCTCTTTCTTTTCTTTATTTATGTTTGTCTCTCTCTCTCTGTCTCTCTGGTGGTCTGAGTGAATCAGTGAGTTGTTGACACCGTGGTGTTGACATGTTGATGAGCTCAGGAGAGGATTATGGGTGATAAACATGAGTGTGCAGATGTTGCACACGCTAGACGTGTGAAGATGTGTAGTACCGTAATCCTCACTGCCTGTGCACACACACACACGCACACACACACACACAGAGCTCTGCCACACTGGTGTAAAATTCAGTTGAGGTATGTTTGCAGTGTTTCAGGGATTTAAGTAAATCCAACTGATGTTTGCACAAACTATCTATAGCAGACCCGATAACCACAACACACACATGCGCACTCAAACGTTAGTCACTGTGGGCACATCGACTCTTTCACACCTTCTTACTGTTTTCATATGCCGTCTGTTTTCTTCTTTGGGGAATGTGACACAGTACACATCTCCCTCTCCCACCCCCTCTCTCTCTCTCTCTCTCTCTCTTTCTCTCTCTTTCTATCGCTCTTTCTCTCTCTCTCTCTCTTGGTCAAACAGCTCATGCACAAAGCTAAAGAGCGCAATTCCTCTGTGACACACTGTGATCAGTGTGTATAAAGTACATAAGTACAGGGTGATTCAAAAAGTTTCATCCATTTTCTAAATGATTTATTTCTCTTGTAAATCATTACAGAACAATGCAGTAAACTGTAAATGGTTTAAATGAGCGTAAAGTTTATTATGTAATTGTACAAGGTCTCAGTATGAACCTCCTCCAGCTGAATGGACAACATCCACGCCATAGTCAAATTCATCCCACACTCGATTGAGCATGTCGGGTGTCGCTGCACTCACGGCTCTTTCAGTGCGATTTCGGAGATCATCCAGTGTTGTGGAACAAGCGACGAACGAGCTGTTGGAGGTTCACTGCCCACGAAAATCACGCTGCACAGTTATGACGGATTCACTCTTATTGCAGTGGAGAATGCAGAACACTTTCTGCTCAGGGGTCGCATCTCCTCTCAGACTGAGGGGAGCCATCATCCACTGACCGTCAGAAACCATATGACTCCCTCCTTCAGTTGGTATGTGATTGGTTCCTCGGCGCCTCATGGTTGTAAAAATACGGCGCTTTGAAATCGGATGAAACTTTTTGAATCAACCTGTGTAATCATAACTTTAAACAGCCTTAAGTAATATTCAGACAGGAAAATTATTTTTACATCAGGAGATGGATAATGTAATATTCACTGTATATTTAATCCTGTACTATAACACGAGCCATAGAAACAAACCCATCTTATAATAATCCTGTGCTTTAAAACAAACCATAGAAACAAACCCAGGCTATAATAATCCTGAGCTTTAAAACAAACCATAGAAATAATCCCAGGTTATATTAATCCTGTGCTATAAAATGAACCATAGAAATTGTCCCAGGTTATATGAATCTTGTTGTAAAACAAACCATAGAAATAATCCCAGGTTATATTAATTCTGTGTTATAAAATGAACCATGGAAATAATTCCAGGTTATATTAATCCTGTGCTGTAAAATGAACCAGAGAAATAATCCCAGGTTATATTAATCCTGTGCTATAAAATGAACAATAGAAATAATCCCAGGGTTTATTAATCATGTGCTATAAAACGAACCATAGAAATAATCCCAGGTTATATTAATCCTGCACTTTAAAACAAACCATAGAAATAATCTCAGGTTATATTAATCCTGTGTTGGTAAATATTCCGTCATGTTTTGTAGAAAAGGAGTTTTACGTTTTTATGGAGACCCTCAAAGCATTTATTCTTATTCTCTGTGGACCAAGTTGAGCTGTTATGTGCTGTCACGCCTCGAGTGTATGACTCTGAATGACATGAATGATGACAGAAATGAAGTTAGTTTTTTTGTGCCTGTAAATTCCCAAGCTAACAATATATACTGCTTACACTTTGGATGTGCTTAAGACAGGGTCAGGGTAAACATAATCCTGATTAAATTCGATGCTTACTGTTTTTAATCAGCTGAATATGTTGCGTTTAGAACTTTTTGTCCTATTGGAACAGTGTAAATACGGTGTGGACATACAAGATGTTTTTATTCTCAATTATACAGGCATATTGTTGTACATGTCAACAAATCCCAGATGTTTGGGCTGTCTTTTTTTAGCAGCTGTTTTGGTGAAAGCGCCTGGCCACGCTGGCCAATAAATATCTCAGAAGACACACATCAAAACATTTCATGGTAATTTTGACAAGCCTGTTGTATTGTCAACTCTTTTGCTGGGACATGCTGTGTTCTCATAAATTTAGCTCCAAGGCTGATGGTGGGGCTGCCGGCAGTAAACAGTGTCGGGGCAGATTTTTGGAGTGGCCTTCTGCCCAAGGTTCAGATCAGATTCTCAGTAATTAGTGTCATGGTATCAGACAGAACACATGCTCATACACTCACACGTACAAAGGGGTGGACAATATGATGATATGTTATTATCTATAGTGATAGTTTACGCCACAATATGTCTTTCAGGGCAATCATGGTTATCGTCATTACTTCTAAAAAAGACAGATATTATAGAGATCGCTCAGATTATAGATCAGTTATTATTAAAGAGAGCCAAACTGGTGTATAGATACTGAAAAAAATGCACATTCAGAAGTAGCTGATTGAATGTCAGCCCATTATAACATCGGTTTATGTCCTCTTTTTACGCTGAATTTACGTTACAGTAAAGCGAGGTGATGTACGTTTCACCTCCTTAATTTCTGTTTGGACAGGTGACAGTTGTGCTTTAGGGATTGTGGGAGCAGCTGCATCGCAAATCGTGCAATAAAAAGTTGAGCTTTTCACAACTTCATGCAAATGAGACGTGAGTTTCGCTGGCAGGCCACAGGAGAGTTTTACACAAAAGAATATTAGACCTTTTCTATCCTGCTTTCAGAACTAGGCCTAGCCTAGAACTGGACAGCTAAACTTGCTTGCATTGAGTGGCCACCGTGTGGCAGGGTAAAGTTTGTTTTTGCAAACGTACGATTAAAAAATGTTTTTTAAATGTGCCAGTATCATTTTGTTGGTGCATTTTGTCTGTAAAGACTAAATATTATGATAGATATATTGTGCATCATGAAAATGACTTCATCAATTATTTGTTTATTTGTTTGTTTTTAGGATCCCCATTAGCTGCTGTCATGATAGCCGCTATTCTTCCTGGGGTCCCGTAGACAAAATACATACCATACATTACAAAATAATGCAATAACAATCAAAGAAATAAGTCAAATAAAACAAAGATAAAATAAAAGAAAAGAACAAACAAAAAGAAGCTGAGAGAAAACAAAACATGAAACATGAAAATAACATAGTAGAACAATAAAAAACAGAAAATAACAGTAGAAAGACGACTGAAAACGGAAAAATTACAGTGAAAGAAAAGGTCATTTGGTGTATCTTACAAAGGCCTTAGCTGACTCTGTTCTGGTAGGTATGTACATCCCTGCCGACCGCAGTATTATTCCAGATGTCAAGGACCTATTTACTTAAGTGATCTTTAAATTTGTTAAATAGTGTCTTTTTATTAGTTTTTAAACATTATTTTACTCTTATTTTAGGCAGAGACCTTTAGGGAATTCCACTCCTTTATAGCTCTATAAATTACCGTACTGTACTGTAAATTTTTTCTTGTATATCTTGTTGTAATCATAATTCTATATGTTTGTCATATAGTCTGTCCATGTACATCATTCATTTGTACACTCTCATATAGACACACGCTCACTGTCTGTGTGTGAATTAGGTTGCTCATACATGTGTACGAGGTGGGAGGGGTGAGAGAGAGACAGAAAAGAGGTTATCTGGCACAAGGCGTGCTGCTCTGTGTTTCGGAATTCACTTCCTGGCGGTGGCTGCTGTTTCCTGTCTTTTCCACTGAACGGGAAGTAGTTGGCATTTATTTACATGCTAATGTGTACGAGATAGCGGTCAGATCACCCACTCAGGAAAACACACGCACAGTTTGCGAAAACAGTGGCATTTCTTTGATAATGTCTTTGGAAACTGCAGCTGCTCAGGGTAGAAAGAAAAACAGTGGAGTGTTAAGAATAATAATAGTTTATTTGAAGTTTGAAGAAAATAAGCAACTAATGAAGACGTAACTTGTCGCTCCACGTCAGCAGTGCTGCTGTAATTATCTCATATCTAGTCATACACATCCAATCAAAATCTCATTTAGATACTGCTGTGTCTGTGTGTGCTTTTGTGAACTTGTATTGCCATACTTATGAGGACCACATGTAGTAATGCGGAAAACAGCAATCTTTTTGGTGGTCCTCGTAAGTTAATGTTATTTATTTATTCTTTAGCAGGTTAGGATTATGCAGTCACCCATACCCACGCACAAAGAGTTGATCAAATGAGCTGTATTTACAGTTACATCAGTGTTTTATATCTACCTACACTCTTAAAAAATGGTTCTTCAGGGGTTCTATAGTGAAGAAAATGGTTATATATAGAACCATGAACATTCAAAGAACCCTTTGCATGATTAAATACTGTAGATGGTTGTTACAATAGAAGAATCCTTTTTGGTGATATGTCTGTATTTTAATCATGCAAAGTGTTCTTCGAGTGTTCATGGTTCCATATACAACCATTTTCTTTACTAAAGAACCCATGAAGAACCGTCGTTTTTAAGTATGAATCTATGTATGACCTGAATCTCATTTAGATGCTGAGATTTCCTCCTGAACCAGTTACAGGTGTGTGTGTGTGTGTGTGTGTGTGTGTGTGTGTGTGTGTCTTTGTGGATTAGAAGGAAGATTGGATTGTTATTACCTAATGATGCCATGTGTTGTAATCTTATCGTGCCTTATTCCTTGTCTGTATATGTTTGTGCATACAGGTCATCACACAGTATACATCGGTGTTCACGTGCCCAAGAGTTACCGTCGGCGGAGGAGACACAGGAGACGGTCCAATCACAAAGAGAGGAGAGAACGGGTGACGGAAGGCGTGAGCGACAAATCCGACGCTGAGAATGCAGATGACTCCGCCCCCAGTATTCTCAAACCACTCAGTAAGTCATGTGTCCATGAAACACCCAGCATCTCAGACAAACAGTATCTCAAAGACTTAACATCTAAAACACCTACAGTCGCCATTCATACAGCATCTTTTAACAGCTAGCATCTCAAAAACCAAACACCTGAAACACCTAACATCTGAAACACCTAACATCTGAAACACCAAACATCTGAAACACCAAACATATGAAACACGTAACATCTCAAAAACTAAACATCTCAAACACCTAGCATCTCAAACACTCAGCATCTCAAACACCTACAGTCGCAATCATACAGCATCTTTTAACAGCTAGCATCTCAAAAACCAGACATCTGAAACACCAAACATCTCAAACACCAATTATCTCAAACACCTAACATCTCAAACACCAAACATCTCAAACACCTAACATCTCAAACACCAATCATCTGAAACACCAAACACCTGAAACACCAAGCATCTCAAACAGCAAACATCTGAAACACCTAACATCTCGAAAACCAAACACCTGAAACACCAAACATCTCAAACACCAAACATCTCAAACACCTAACATCTCAAAAACTAAACATCTCAAACACTTAACATCTCAAAAACTAAACATCTGAAACACCTGACATCTGAAACACCTACCATCTCAAACACTCAGCATCTCAAACACCTACAGCTGCAGTCATACAGCATCTTTTAACACCTAACATCTCAAAAACCAAACATCTGAATCACCTAGTATTGCAAACATCTGACATCTCAAACACGTAACATCTCAAACGATTAGCATCTGAACCCCCTAGCATGCGTCTTTGCTCCTGACACCCCCCATCTAAACACAACTCTCAAACTTCTACAGCTTGGCTTATAAACACTCAGCACGCGTGTAAATACCGCTTAGCACTTAAAAAGGCTTTTAGGGATTTTTAGAGTTGAACATTTTCCCAAATAACGTAAGCCTCTCCGTTCTTCTCCTGCTGGACAATGTCGAGAGGAAACATAAGCAGCCTTAGCTCTCATTTCCAATGATAATAACTCAATACCAGTAGCTTGTTTATATTATACTGCCTCATACTGTGTATATTCACATGATAAGCTAACGGATGAGCGAGGTGTTTGCGAGAGGCACAAGGAAGAGCAGAGCGAGAGAGATGAGGGAGTCTGTTTCACTAATCTCTACTCAAGCTGCTAGAACCGATATGTTAATCCAGCCTCTTTTTTCAGTCTGTGAGCATATGTTAGTCTGCGTGTCTGCGTCTGTGTGTGACACTGAGTAGACAAACCTGACTGCGTAAAACTGTTTATACAGGAGCAGAAAATAGGAAAAACAATGAACAGCCAATATTTTTAAATGTTGAAAAAAACAAGCATGCATCACAAAGCACTAGTGCATTTTTACACTTGAAGTTGGGGTGGGCCGGTATGGCGATATTTTATCATATCTTAGTAATTAATGTCACAATACGCCACAGTATGCTTTTCTGAGCAAATCCTAAATTTCGGCAGCACTCAGAAAGAACTGAAGAACTACATGTTTCATTGAAAAAGAACATATTTAGTCCTGTTTAATCAGATTTAGTGCAGTGCAGTATGTGAAACATAAAAATGTTGAATTAAAATCATTGTACTCATAGCTTTTAACCCTCTATTGCACAATGTTGCCTCAGGGCGACAAACTCATTTTCCACACTTTACAATTATGATATACATATTTAAAGACAACGATGGCATCAACAATAAAGGGAAGAGTACTTATTGGGCACCTTTAAACCTCTTTTTTAATGTTCAGTATAATTTTTTTTGCTTTGAGAATTTGCAGAAATATGTTTGTTGCCTAGAAGCAACACTGCATGACAATGGATTTAGCCAGTCACAAGCTAGGTCTCACCATTTCAGGGAACACAGCTTTATATAATTTCTTCTCATTGTTGCACAATGTTGCCTCAAGGCAACATACCCCAAAATCTATATCTTATATCTTATCAAAACTAAATAATTTGATGCGTATATCGTGAAAGTGTCTCCGCGCGTTGTGCTACTGTATTTTTGCCGTATCGCTCAGCCACAACTCCTAATATACTTTCGCGGCCAAGCCAAACGTCGACCCGAACGAGTTGCTTAGTCACAGGGGGCAGAGCAGGACCTCCTTATCCCATCTTATCCCCTGCTGCCACCACGCCCCCTCGGCCAGTAAGCCGCTTCATTGTCCTGGTTTCTCCTCATGTGGTCACACAGTGGGCCATTTGAGGTCATGCCGAGCTCTGGCTTGTGGTCAAACGTGAATGGAGCATGTATCTCTTACATCATTCCCCCTTTGTAGCAGATGATAGGGTCGGGAACAGTGGCTAAAGTGTTTACTAGCATTTCGCTTTGTCAGGGGAAGCCACATAATAAGGGTTTTAGAGGAGGTGTTGGCCTCCACTGGCTTGGAACAGGTTAGGGAAGCTTATGGCATTGCTTTTAGCCACCGTGAAGGATTCAAGCTAGTACTTAAATTTGGGAGTGGTCAGGTGGTGTTGGTCAGTGCAGAAAGTCTTTCGTGCTTAGAGTCATGTTCCTCACTCCGATCCTAAACACAGAACTGCATCAATTCTTATGCAGCCCGCCTGCTTCTACCATTCAGGTGCTGAATATATACAACATACTTTTGTCTATTTTTATAGATAACAGTGTGTCATACAGTGTCGGAAACCGCATAATCAAGTCTATATGAGACACTGAGCAACTCAAGGCGGGTATGTGATGATTTAGGCATATGCAGTTTGCACAAAGTATCAGGCAAAAGATCTTCGGCATGAGCTTTGGAATTAAAATGCATCATGAACAGGTCTGAGTGCCACTACTTCAACATTTTCCATTTTGCTGCTGGCCTTCAGCTGATGAAAAGGTTGGTAACTAGCTGATAAGTTGAAGCTAGAGCTGGCAAAGTTTCACAGTGTCTCGCGCCTCAGTGTCTCAAGAGTGAAACACAGGCTTAGTGTAGCCTCTGATGAGAGAAGTCTTCAAAATATAGCACTAATCTGAGGAGCCCAGTTTATCTGAATGGAATGGGCTCAGGATCTGGTGCGTATGGAGGTATTTGTCTTCCAGATTCACAATAATATGCTTATTAAAGTTACTTCTGTCATTAATCACTGATTTCTGACATAGAACTGGTTTAATTTGCTTGATGTAGCTGTTTGAAAATTCTTCCCCATTGTTTTTGGACCAGCAGATTCATTCAGACCTCTCAGTGACTGAGCTGTCTCTTGTTGCAGTAGGAAGCTAATAGCTGGTGATTACCCAGGTTCTTTTCACTTAATTGCGTGTACAGATGAATGTCAGTTAGCTGAAGAGGTCAGTTGATAGTCTTGGCTATTAAAGAGGAATTCCACCAATATTGCAAACTTATTTCAGTTGTTGAGATGTAAAGAAAGTCATTCAGATTAGTTTGATGTGAAGCTGTTCATTGTAGAGAAACTTAAAGTACCTCAGATTACTTTACAACACCAATATAGCCATTTTTTTACAGAAAAGCAAAACCGCCAGTGAACCTACACATGTCCTCTGAGTTTTGTACATAACATTGATCATGGTTAAATAGTGGTAAATCCAAAAAAAATGTTTTGAAAGTAATAGGCGAGCAACAACACAAAGGCACATCACGTCTGGAGGTTTGGCCAAAACCATAATGCAAAACTGTCATAAAATAATGTAGGAAATGTACTTTAAGCAGCTCAAAAGCACTTTGAGCTCCCACCGGCGTTAAAAGTGCTATATAAATAAAGATTAATCATTATTGTTATGTAATCATAACCATTCAGTGTAATAATTTTCTGTGAGAACAGGGATGCATAGGCCTTTTGTCCTGGGGGGCCAAAAAAATGTGATTAATTCTGTATAAGATAAAAATATGACTGTTCTCCTGTTGGGTGAGGGGGTGGGGTTATGGATAACTTTCTGATGGGCCAAATTGAACGTCCTCATTAACTACTTTATTCGGGGGCGAACCTGTTTTAGAGGCATCAAATGCTCTGAATGTCTGGTTTCTATCACCACCACTGTGAACAGTTCTGAGTCTGTAAGTTTCTCTAGAACAGAGCGTTTCACACCAAACCACTCTGAATGACTCCGTTTACAATTAAAGGACTGAACTACAGAAATGTTGGTCAGATTAGCTGGTGGTGTCTGAAAAGGAGTGTCGGGAGTCGAAGTGAATCAATTCAAAACAGTGTAGACAGTTTAAACATCAGGAGTGACTCTAAACTCATGCCACCTCTGGCTGGTGTGTGTGTGTGTGTGTGTGTGTGTGTGTGTTTACACTGAGATTGTGTTTAGCTGAGAGGTGTTTGGTCTTTCCAGAGGTGGCTCTTGCTTTGCCCTGATCCAGGATGACATGCCAAACGTCACACACACGTAAACACGTAAACAGAACACACACATGCAAATACAAACACACTGTCCCTATATGGGTCTGCTGTGTGGTGCTGTGGGTAGTCTGGGATGGTGGCAGACAGACAGCTAGATGAGGAGAGAGACAGAGGTACAAAGATTCATGGAGAGGCTTTGCATTATATGACAGATGACAGACTCACAGACACACCCTCTCTTTTCCTGCTGTTGTTTTTTCCATTGATGTGCCAGTGTGGTATCTCCCACTAACATGGCAGTATTCCAGGGAAGAAGCGTGTGGTGTAAACACCTAATTCCAGTTATAGTGTTCCAGATAAGTCTATTATAGGAATAAGAGAGTCTGTTCTATAACAGATGTAATGCACTTGAGTTCAGGGAGCTTAAAGGAAAGGCTGAAAAAAACTAAACATTTCCACTCAGTGTAGAGAGGCAGGAGAGGCGTAATAAATAACAATAACAAACGTTGTATAGCACCTTTGTACATTGAAATGCAACTCAACGTGCTTTACAACACAAAGGCAAAAAGCAGAAATGAGAAAAATAGAAATTTGAGAAAATTGTCCAAAAAAAGCCAAAAAAAAAAACATAATGAAAAAATAAATACCAAAGACCAAATAAAAATAAAAAAATAAAATAAGCACAGAAAAAACTAAATTACTTTATAATTAATAATAATTAACAATAATTAACAATTAAAACCTAAATACACAGTAGGTTGCACACATAAAATAAACAAACAAACCAACTTTATTTTAATGTAATTATCTTGATATTATCTTTGTTCACTGAAATATGTTTATGGCTCCGACTACCCTTAAGCCAGTGCTCTTACACATACACACACACACACACACACACACACACGTATATGCACAGAATAATTGTGAACTTGTGCCACTCCTGTCCACCCCACCCACCTCTCCATTTATCACATAACAATATCCTCTTTTCTGCTTTTGAGTCGCTAATGATGAAGGAAAAACCCCGTTTGGTAAGTGTGATTAATATTTCACAAGGCAAGACTTCCAGCAAAGCCGCATAATTAGCCAACAAGCAGTGGCCTTACCCTTTTTCCGTTTGGACAGATGTGACATGTGGCCCCGGTTATCTGGGCAATCTCCCTTCATGAGCTTCCCCTGTGGTATGAGGAACACATTTCCAGCCATTCAGCTCCAACAGTAGTCTACAGTGTCCCTTTGCTTCACACTTCAATTTGCATGATTGCTGTTGCATAAGCTGAACCTGTCACTCATACACACACACACACACACACACACACACACATACACACACACACACACACACACAGCACATGTCAATTCTCTGTTTTTATGGGCTCACTTGTTCTAAGAGGAGCCTAACAGAGTAACTGATTATGAAAATAGGCTTTATTAGTCTGCCTTGAATAGTCAAGTTTGAAGAAGTCAAATTTTAATGTTATAATACTTAAAATAGTTTTAATATTATTTCATTAATCTGAACATTTATGTGTATATATGTATATATATATATATATATATATATATATGTATATATAATTTTTGTACATATATGTGTGTGTGTGTGTGTGTGTAATATATAAATATATAATATGTTAAAGTTATATTTTGAGTGACTTGAGTGAAAACAAGCACAACCAAAAACAGTGCTGTTATTTATCCCTGATTGGCTGATTTTTCCATCAGTCTCTCCAGCTGCAGAGCGGATTCGTTTCATCCTGGGAGAGGAGGACAGTGGGCCGCCCCCACCACAGCTCTTCACTGAGCTGGATGAGCTGCTCGCTGTTGACGGACAGGAGATGGAATGGAAGGAAACAGCCAGGTAGCAAACACACAAACACATGAACACACAGACACAGACACACACACACATTTTTTTTACCAATATCAATATTTAATTTATTATACTGAAGTCTTTTTTGAAAAGAACCCAAATGACAAACGTCTTAACGTAAAACAGGGGGTCCAATCTTATCCACAAAGGGCTGGTGTGGCTGCAAGTTTTCATTCCAAACAAGCTGGAGTTCACCTGATTCTACCTGTTGCATCAACTGGTTTACAAACAGTTGATCACATGTGCTCCTGCTTTGTTGGAATGAAAACCTGCAGCCACACCAGCCCTTTGCAGAAATATCAGACACCCTTTGACAAGGGTGTCTGATAAGCTTTTTTCAAACCAGGCCTCAGGGATCCACAGACGGTCCACATTTTTGCTCCATCCCAACTCACAATGCATAGGCGTAAAGCAAAAAGGTGGCCTATCTGGTGGGGATCCCTGAGAACCGGTTTGAGAACCACTGGATTCTTCTGTTGAGGCTTTTACAAATGCATCATCTTAGGCCACTTATTTACATTTTTACTAACTTATTTGATACACATTCGATTTTATGAACGCCACAATAGGTACTAATAAATTCATAACAACACACTAATTGATAGTGGTTCCCATTCCTCATAATTATCGTAACATTTATTGGTGTGAAGGCATGTTGCTATACTGTTTATCGCAATTTTATTTTCTTTTAATAATTGCATGCAACTTTTATATTGTGAGCCTAAAGGAGCCAAACTGGCAGATTAGCTATCTTGACTTCTGGCTCTTCATACTGACCACAGACACAGCTTGAGCTCAAATAAGCAAACATTACTCACCGCCGCCCTCTAAAGGTTTTATTAACAAACATCACATAAACAAGCATGACTCACTACTGTCCTCTAAAGGTGTTATTAACTAACATCAAATAAACAAACGTCACTCACCTCTGCCCCTAAAGGTGTTAACAAACATCAAATAAACAAAATTACTCACTGCCGCCCTCTAAAGGTGTTGTTAACAAACATTAAATAAACAAACGTGACTCACCGCCGCCCTCTAAAGGCGTCATTTACAGACATTGAATAAACAAACGTCGCTCACTGCCGCCCTCTAAAGGTGTTAATAAAAACATCATATAAAAAACATTACTCACTGCTGCCCTCTAAAGGAGTTATTAACGAATTTTAAATAAACAAACGTTACACACTGCTGCCCTCTAAAGGTGTTATAGCACCCAGTCTGAAGAACATTTGTTGATTTTATGAAACCTATAAATGTCTCAAAAAGGTTCTCTGCTTTCTTTCATTCATGTGCCTCGACTCAGCTGATGAAAATTCATATTCTGTTTGTTGTGATCGTGGGGGCTAAAAAGTGAAATAACTGTGATCTGCTCAAACAACTGCAGTTAGGCGGTTATGTAATCAGGCCTGGTAAACGTAAACACAGGCGTGCATATGGCGCCCTGCCCAGACCTCAGGAGCATGCTGAAACATTGCTGCATTGATCCCGTCTTCCAGTTCGGCTGGAAAAAGGCTGACACACCAACATTCACTAGAATTCCACAAGCGTACACACAGCAGTCTGGAAACACCAGCCTTTCTAGGAAGTTATAAGGAATTCAGCAGTTCTGCAAAACGTGAAAGACTTCCTGAAGTGTCATTGTGAATATACAGAGACAGCACACTCACACTCACGCTCACCCCCTCCTCACGCGTACACAGATGTAACAGGAATTTGAAACTGCTATGTCACTGCTGTCTGTGGTCACTGTTACATAAGCAGGTATTTAAGGCATTTACCTTTTATGTGGAGTGAAAACTCAGACGTAAACAAAATCAGTAAATCAGAGCCATGTGAAAAGGAACGTAGTAAGAGAGATAAAGGGAGAGAGAGATTGTGCCTTACCTGGACACCCTGACGAGCCATGACCATGCAGAAGAGGGATGGAGGGAGAAAGGCAGATAGAGATAGAGAGGGAGGACGTCAGACAAGTTTTGGAAATAAAGCAGAGAGAAAAGCAAAGCCAATGAAAAGACAAAGCAGCATTCACCTGTTTCAAGGGAGATGTGATTTCCCAAGAGCACTGGTTATCTGTTTGGCTGCACTTTATTTATTTTAGCGTGTGCATTCAGGCCCCTCGTTATTCTCGTCCTCTTTCACACATGACTTGTTGATCTCTTTCTAGAGCTGAATGATTTGTTGTTTTTATATGGAAATTGCAGTTTGAAAGAGCGCAATTTTCAAATCGCAAGACCTGAACTTTTATATTATCTCTTATATTATTCAAAGTTGTCTTTACAAGTTTTAACCGAGCAAATACGCCTAATAAATGATGGCCTAATAATAATAAAGAAATAATAATAAGAAAAAAGGCCTGCAAAAAAATAACTGCATTCAAATCAGACCCTGTCACTTCTTCACTTTCAAAAAATCAACACTTGTTTCCATAAGACAAATGAAGTGTCTTTATATCAGAGTTTCTAGAGCCCATGTGTCAAACACCAGGCTAGGCCCACCACACAATCCTATGCTGCCCGCAAAAGTATTTTAATTTTCTGTTAATATTAGCCCGTTTCACAATACACTGCACTACAGTCCCCAGCATGCACTGCAACGTAATGTGTGCTCTCACTCTCCCACCCCAACAATAGTCTATGGGACAGCGGTTACACCTCAATTCTACACAATTCTATACCAGTCATATCACCAAATGTGTTTCAGCTGCAGTTCAACCAATATAAACACTTAACATTGATTCAGCTGCTCAGAAACTGAGCTCAAGTCTTAATGAACTCGCAGGAAAGAAAGGATGCCAGGTGTCTAGTTCAAGCAAACAGGTGGGTTTAGAAGACAGAGCTCCTGGGGACATTTAAATATTGAATATTTAAGAGTGAAGACAGAGAAGACAGAGCTATTTGTAGAATATTTAAATATAAGAATATATAAATATAAGAATATTTCGAGTGCCCGTGTAATATAAGTGTTCATATTCTACTGTTGACGTTTGTGCATAAACAATAGCCAGTTTGGGTTATGGCACAACAATAATTAAAAATGAAATAAAAACATTTTTTACTCTGGCCACAGATTTGGCCCTTTTACTGGTTGAGTCTGACACCCCTGTTGTAGAGTTTCTGAGGCCCTGAGAACAAAGGCCTCCTGGTTTGATGTGTGTAATTTCAGCGTGGAGCCTGCAAGCGTCCAGGAAGTTTCATATGCCAACAAAGACCCAATTCACTCACTCTTCTAGGCCCCGTGTCACTGCAGGCCTGTGTTACAGAGAGTATGTGAGTTCTCTGGGTGCTCTGGGGTCTCTGGGTTTACCTGCATATCAGGTAACATAGTGAGCCAACATTCACAGAGTGGGAGCGTGCAGGTATCAGATCTTAGGCTCAGTATCATAGCAGAGCTCGGCTAAGCTGAACTCAGTAGCCGTTTTACAGGAGATTACGGTTCTTTCCTCTGAAATGAGAATGTATCACAGTACAGAATTTCACTGAGGCGTGTTTGAGAGGATACACTGGAAAGGGAATCTCAAGAAGCAGAATAAATCCACTTCTGTTTCACGTTAGGAGGCTTTTAGTGTGCAGACAGGAACTCAGCCCACCTATACTGCTATAACAGGCCACCTATACGTCTGTGTGTGTGGGCTTGTCTGTCAGATTTAGAGTCATTTCTGTATGAAGTGTGGGATTCTGTGAATGGCTTCTGTCTCTATAGACGTGACAAATCCAGCTGATATGGAGCTGTGGAACTGCTGACTGTTGTGGCTGACGACTTCTAGAACGTCTGGCTTAGGGTTCTAGAATGCTTGGCCAAATGTTTTAGAATGTTTGACTAGCTGTTCTAGAACATCTGGCTAAGTGTTCTTGCACTCCTGCAGAAGTGTTCTTGGAAACATAGTTCAGTTTCCTAGAATATTTGGCTGAGTGTTCTAGAATGTCTAGCTGATAGTTCTAGAATGTCTGGCTTAGAGTTCTAGAATGTCTGGGTGAGTTGAAAAGTGGTTCAGTGCTCTAGGATATGTGAATATCTAGAATATGAGTGTATTTGGGCTCCTGATTGAGATTTCTATAATATCTAGCTGAGAACATCTAGAATACCTAGTTTAAAGTTTTTGGCCAAATGTCACTATTTGGCCGAGTGTTCTTGGACTCCTGGTTGAGAGTTCTAGGACATTTGAATGAGTTCTTTTTGGACTCCTGAATGAGCGGTCTTGGAGACCTGGTTCAGTGTTCTAGAATATGTGGCTGAGAGCTCTAGAAGGTCTGGCATAGAGTTCTAGAATGTCTGGGTCAGTGTTGCTGGAAAAGTGGTTCAGTGCTCTAGAATATGTGCATAAGTGTACTTGGGCTCCTTATTGAGATTTCAATAACATCTAGCGGAGAACATCTAGCGTAGAGTTCTAGAATACCTAGTTTAAAGTTTTTGGCCCATTGCCACCATTTTGTGGTGTGGAGTGTTCTTGGACTCCTGGCTGAGAGTTCTAGGACATTTGCATAAGTTCTTTTTGGACTCTTGGGTAAGTGGTCTTGGAGACCTGGTTCAGTGTTTTAGAATATGTGGCTGAGGGTTCTAGATTATCTAGCTGAGAGTTCTTGAATGTCTGATGAGAGTTCCAGAATGGCTGTTTAAATGTTTTACAACATCTGGCTGACTGTTCTTGGACACCTGTTTCAGTTTTCTGGAACATGTGGCTGAGAGTTCTAGGACATCTGGATGAATGTTCTAGATTACGTTTTGAGTGTTGTAGTCAACGTTGGTCTTATTTACGTATGAAATTAAGTGGTTGAATTTACATGATTCAAATGTGAACCTTGGTTCCAAACAAATGAAATATGTTCCATAAACTTAAACTAAGCTAACATAGTAATTATGTAGAGGTATATTTCATTCATGTGGAGCCAATGTACACATTTGAATCAAGCAAATTTAACGCAGCCTTTTTTCCATGTATTCTGTTATTTTAATGAAAGCAGGACATATGCTGAATGGAGAGCTGTTGTTGATGCACACATACATGCCTCTTTACAACTCCCTGAATAAACAGTGATGATATTTTTGCTGTAGTGCGCTGTTAGTTATGAACATGTCTCTCTGTGTGTGCCTCTGTGTGTCCCTCTCTGTCACCAGGTGGATAAAGTTTGAGGAGAAGGTGGAGAAAGGAGGAGAGAGGTGGAGTAAGCCTCATGTGGCCACTCTGTCTCTGCACTCGCTCTTTGAACTGAAGACCTGCATAGAGAAGGGCACCATCTTGCTCGACATGGAGGCCAACTCACTGCAGCAGATCGTTGGTAAAAAAAAAAAACAAAAAAAACTACAACTCCCAGCAGCACTTGCTACAAAGAGATGCATAGTTTTTAATTTTTCTGTTTTTCTGAATGGAAGTACTAATAATAAAAACTCACTCTTTGGCCTAATCCCATTTCTTATTTTTACTCCTACCCCTTGTTTTCGAGTGTCTCCTTGCTCCTTGGAACTGAGGGAAATGGGACCCTCAAATAAAAAGAGCATTACTTCATTAACAGCTACTAGCGCTGCTCTGTGGGCGACCCTGCCAGTCTGCAGTGACAGCAGAGGAGGGTAAAGTTCAGCTCCTCACTGCTGGGCTTTAGTTACATTTAGGGCATCATATGATTTTCAAAGGGGGGGGGCAATTATTTATTATCACCCACCACTAATTCTTCAGTGATACGACGCTGAAGTCAGATATTCACCAGATTCTTGTTCCAAATTTTCCTGTTCCACCTTAAATGAAGCAGCGGTTCTGATGCCTAAGGTGCCAGAATGTAACTGCTGCACCATTTAAGGTGAAACAGGAAATTTCGCTAGCTAGTTACCAAGACATCAGCACTACTACTGATTTTTTATGCTTGTTATGAAGAAAAGGACCATAATACACTAAAACAACATTAAACTAAGAAAATACAATGTTTATCTTAATTTTTTAACAGAGAAAATTCTCACATTCTTGTGTGTTCAGCGACCAAATCTTGCCAGTTTTTCTTTTTTCTCATAACACTCTGTTTGCAGTGTGCCTCTAAAAAACACTTCGCCCTACCCCTCTATCTCAACACAAATCAGGACACCCTACACCTAGACGTGAACATGTAAAACGGAGGGGTAGGGCTAAGTGGTAGGGGCGAGGGGTGAAATGGGACTGAGTCTCTCTCTGAAACGCATATCGACACACTGAATTCATTATTTTCTTCCCCCTTATCTCTGTTTCCCTCTCAGAGATGATCACGGATAGTCAGATAGAGACAGGGCTGCTAAAGCCTGACCTGAAGGAGAAGGTCATGTACACGTTGCTACGGAAACACCGTCACCAGACCAAGAAGTCCAACCTGCGCTCGCTGGCTGACATTGGCAAAACTGTGTCCAGTGCAAGTAGGCTGTTTTCCAACCAAGAGAACGGTAATGCTGGTTTGGTGTTACACTATAATACTCGAACTCTAACTTTCTCTCTCTCTCTTTCTCTGTCTCTCTGTCTCTCTATCTCTTTTTAACTTTTTTTCACCTTGTCTGGCCTTTTGCAACTTTAAACTGTAAACTTTGACTTTGTATCTCATTTAGATTTATATTTTTATATTCTAACTCACATTGTTACATGCTAGAGTGCTGCATTCATTGCATTAGAATTAACATAACAGCCTATAAAGCAACAGTTTGGTCATTTCTCTGCTCTAAACCTGGTACCTACCTTTATACTGAACCAAGTAGGTTTTGAGGCAAAGAAATACGCTAAGACCCCCAATACTGCAGTTGTGCTCCCCTGCTTTAAATGGTTTGTGCCTTAATGATTACACATGAAAACAATCTGCTATTTGAAACTAAGTGAACATGCACAGGCTTCTCATGCAGGCCTGATATATGGATGTTATTGTAGTGGACTAAATGATCAGTATGTTATTGAGTGTGTTGCTTGATTTTGTTCTAGTGTTCAGAGTAGATCCTGCTTTCTTCTGTCTGAATCTTGATAATGTAACAATTTCTGATATTCTCATGTTCAGTATATACTATATTTCTCATGTACTTCTGGTTGGACTGTCTTAGTCTTTGTTCTGTAACTCGTAGAGATGAGGAAACAGTCTTATTTCAAGTAATCTAAAGGAAACTTTAGTGCCTAGTCAGCAGTTTAGAGTGTGTTCTTCTCTAAGCCTTTCCAAATGTTCTGCTCTAAGCTGATCTTGCTTTCTTCTTCTTTTTCTCTTCCCTTTTTTTCCTCTGTCATGGCATGCTTCCCCTCTGTCTCTCTCACTTTCTGTCCCTGCGTTGTATGTGTTCGTGACATGAAAGTACGTAGTCCTCTTGACCACTCTGTGCCTTGCTTTACCACCTTTGAAACTGAAGACCAAATACAGATGCAGAGAAGCAACAGCATGGGCCTCCTCTGTAAGTCTAGAACCTGAGATTAAGTGTAGAACTGATGAATAGAAGTAGATTACTAGTAACCAAAGGCTTCTGTGTTAAATCTAGAACAAAAAACATTTTCCAGACAGAGATTAGCCCAGTCGTAGGCCATTGTTTTCCCCACTTTAACACGCTTAACCCAGTTAATCAAGGGCTTGATATTACGTGAAGAGTTAGATGAGGGAAATGTGCAGAGCAGGGGTTCCCTACATCTGAGATTAGAACCTCTGAGGAAGACTCCTCACTGACAGTGTACTCCCCACTCTGTAATGTATAATGTAGTCTAACACTGGCTTAATCTGTGCCTGGAAAGCCTTTCCTACGTGCATTCAATACTAGTATAAATTTAGTTCACCCAGCGAAACTCAATCTGATACAGAAGAAAACTCTTTGGCAGCACTGCAGCAGATAGTGTATAATACATTTATATTACATTTAGAATTATTGCTTTTACAAAGCTATTGTCATTTATTGATTTTTAACTTACTGCAACATTTTATCTGTACTGATTTTATATATATATTGTGGACAGGCCCTCACTGTGATCTCCTATTGGGCTGTAAAAATAACTATCAGGTAACAATGAAAGAAATACAACACAATTTCCAAAAAAGTTGTGACACTGTGCAAAATGTAAATAAAAACAAAATGCAATAATGTGCAAATTATTTAAACCCTATATTTCATTGAAAATAATACAAAGACAACATATCAAATGTTGAAACTGAGAAATTTTATGTTTTTTTGAAAAATATATGCCCAATTTGAATTTAATGCCAGTAACACATTTCAAAAAGGTTGGGACGGGGGCAACAAAAGGCTGGTAAAGTTGTGTAATGCTAAAAAAAACACCTGCTGGTTAATGAGCAACAGGTCAGTAACATGATTAGGTATAAAAAACCATCTCAGAGAGGCTGAGTCTTTCAGAAGTAAAGATGAGGAGGGGTTCACCACTCTGTGAAAGACTGCACAGTCAAATAGTGCAACAATTGATGTGCACATCTGTGAAGGCACCATTCATGCTGAACGATATATATATGTTTTGGTAACATATGCTGCCATTCAGACGACGTCTTTTTCAGGGAAGGCCTTGTTTATTTCAGCAAGACAATGTCAAACCACATTCTGCATGTATTACAGCAGCACTGCTCCGTATTAAAAGAGTCCCGGTGCTAAACTGACCTGCCTGCAGTCCAGACCTGCCACCACTGAAAACGTTTGGCGCATTATGAAATGAAAAAATGAAATATGACAAAGGAGACCCTGAACTGTTGAGCAGATGAAATCAGCAGTGTCTCCTCAGCTCCCAAACACTTACAGAGTGCTGTTAAAAGAAGAGGTGATGAAACACAGTGGTAAACAGGCCCCCGTCCCAACTTTTTTGGAACATGTTGTTGGCATCGAATTCAAAATGGGCATATATTTAAAAAAAAACAATACATTTTCTCAGTTTCAACATTTGATATGTTGTCTTTGTAGTATTTTCCTTTAAAAATATGGTTTACTTGATTTGCACATCAGTGCATCCTATTTTTATTTACATTCTGCACAGCGTCCCAACTTTTTTGGAAATTGGGTTGTAAAATAAATTACTGGTTTAACGGGAGATCACTTTTCCTTAAATGTCTGCCCCTGAACCACTCTTGGGTCTGTATTATTTCAGGGTCTTTGTCTGTCTTTCTGGCTTTTCCTTATACTTTCTTAATAGCTTTTTGTTTTTCAGGGCTAAACTTTGACCTCTGTCACACCCACACAGGTAGTCCAACCACAGCCCACCGCAACCTGACCTCCAGCAGTCTGAATGACCTCTCCGACAAGCCTGAGAAAGACCAGGTATGTAGTTTTTTCTGCATTGATTTGAGTGAGAGACTTGTTGTGCAGTTCCTACAGAAAGGTAGGTGTGAATCGATTTGAGCAGTTGATTCAAAAGAATCGATTGACGAAACGCACTCAGGACCGTCTCAGTGGGTGGACGGGGCTCGGGATGAGCCAACCTAAGCAGGGCCCACCTGATGTGATGCCATTCTAGATTCCGCTATGAACTATTATTGTACACAATATCTCGCAAACCATCTGTGTACAATCAAGATTATTGCCTTTGATATATTGCATAACAACTCACCATTGCCTACAGTTAGATCTTCTTGGCTTTCTTGTAGCACATTCAGCAGGTCCTCAACCATGTTTGCTGGCATATTTGGCAGGTTCATCCTATATAAGTATGTGGATGACGTAGGCTAAAGAATGGTGCAGTCGCAAGAAATGTGACAGCAGTACTGCGTAAACTTGAAATTGCTCTGACTCTGCAACAACAGTCTCATTATCAACCCCTTTTTCCACTCCTGAATGGTATTTTTGGAATTTGCGTCTTGTCCTATGTTGTATATCTCGTTTACATGTACAACAACATACAAAACATGCACTTATGTGACGTCACAGCACTGGAATGTAAAAACGTAGGAAGGCTTGCTAGTTATCCCCACATTGTGGCAACTTTCTGTGTATCTATGTGTACTTCATAAACATATGTATTATACATACATATATATATATATATATATGTACATATATTTCTACTCTCGCCGTGAGGCCTGAGGCGAGCGCACTGGTTTCCATCCCCAAGCGTACAGCTCTGACTATACCTCTTTAGACGAAACTTGTTCTCTAGCCCTTAGTTTGGATTGGATGATGCAATGAGATTAATACAGTCGTTTCTTTTCACCCTTTCACCGATCTGAGTCACAGAAAGGCGTGGCAAAGGTAACCCACTGTCCTCAGGTTTGACCCAGACCAAAATTTTGAGAAGCTTCACTACTGGCTGTGTGTCAGGCAGGCTAGCACTGTCTCATCCTCCAGAGAGAGAGGCTGGGGTCAGAGGAGTACACTGTCCTGGGAAAGAGTGGAGGAGGAACAGCGAGTTTAACAGCAACGTCACACAAAGCCACCCACACCTCTTTTTTCTCTCTGTCATGCTTAAACATTCAATAACATACTACACACCCATGCAAACATGCACACGTAATTCTTTGATTGTACTCATTTAAGTGCACACACCTCTTTCTCTCAGTCTTTCTCATACACACATATGTACATGTGCTTTGGTTTACAGTGGCTTTTGTTTCACATGGAATATGCAGCCCCAGCACCAGAATAATTTGTTGGGCAGGCTTTGTTGACAGATAGATTTTATAGATTTTCCAAACGTTCAGTGTCTTCATATGAGGCTTTAGTCTCTTGCTGACAGCAGTGCAATAATCATCCTACCCAATCCAGAGCCATAATACAATAGCACTCCAGCTCTGTCAGGGTATCAGGTCATCACTTTCATGGGTCTCTGAGACACATCTTTGGCCATATCCAGAACTTCAAATTCAAACTAAGCTCCCCCGACAAAAAATGTTACTATGCGTGTTTAAGGCGGTATTAACTTCAGGCTCCTTCAGATGGCGCTGCACGAAGATGATTGGTATGGTGTGCGATAGAATTTATAGATTGAGAAAAGGTGGTACAGTGCAGTGAATGTCTCGTTAGATGTGTGGAAAATGGGTCACAAAGCAGATGTTAATGATTGCATTTGGGTGTGCCAAAGGCCACAGTGTGAAGGAGGTAGCTAAATTTGCAGGTGTATCGAAGCGTATGCTCATACGGGTCGACCAGCAGTGGCAAAAATCTCAGCCTACAGGAAATTCTCATCAGAATTGTGGTCGGAAGATGAAACTGACGGACAGTGACCACCGGCGTGTTTCATGGCTTGTGGATAAAAGCCGCTTCCCCGCTGAGTGTTCTTTCAGAAATTGGTTGTGAAGGACCTGCGTTGACGTCTAGAAGCAATTCTTGCCTTGAAGCGAGGTGATTTTTATTCCCATTCTCCCTGGACAAAAAATGAGTCACCACCTTAAACACGCAAGGTGACTAATTTTTTGGGGAGCTTATATTCATGGAAACACTTCTCGCTTTTAAAGAACTGAATGATAGCAAGCAGTGATTGGAGGACTAAGAAAATAAAGCAGTGTTTAGGTTCGGCTGCCTCACACGCTTAGAAATGACGCAGAAAGCATTGTTTTTGATTGGCCACAACACAAAAAAACCACAGAAAACAAATTAGGTGTCTATATTTTTAAAAATCAGTGTCTTTGATTTAAATTACCAACGAGATTTCTATATATTTGAAACAAGGGATTGTCTTCTCACACCTTTCCGGCCGAACTGAGTTGGGGGGCTAAGTCCTTTCAGGACGGGCTAAGTCAGTCCATGCCCTGCCTTGACGCTGGACCTGTGAATACAGGCTTCTGCTTTGATTCAGTCTCTCACACAGTAGGTTCCGAGGACCTAGGCACCTAGTTTCGGTCTCCTTCTGGCAGAATTCCTCCGTGTGTTTGGAGTTGCGTCAGGGCCGTTACGTCCATCACGCGAACACTGCTGCTACTGTATACTGATCACACCTCTGGAGTCATAACGCTGATAACCTGCGATACGCATCAACCTTTGCCCGAATACTGCTGTTAAACATTCACACACAAGGCCTCTGTGTGTGTGAGAGAGTGTTTATTGCTTGTGTATGCGCGGTTCTCCCTGCGGTCTCAGAATGTGCTCATGTCCTCAGTGGTACTGAAGCTCAGCCCTTATCTGTCATTCCAGGCGAGCAAATAAAGTGAATCATTGCATGACCTCTGAGAGTACACAACTCCCCCTCATCAACTTATCAGGGGTCTCAGCGTCAGTATGTTTCATATGCGGCCAGACTGCGGTAGCATACAATGTAAAGTCTTATCTGTGACCCCTGATAACGGCTCCTTACAGGGTAGTTGCTGAAAGTTTCGCGTTTGATTTGCAAGAGTGTTTGTTTAACCTGAAATCCTGTGTGACTCATAGAGTTCAAGTGTGCGATGCCAAAACGGTGGAGAAATGCACTCTGAACGATTTCCCTGAATTCTCCATTATAGAATTTCTGGGCTGATAACTACGTTGTTGTGGCTAATACTGAGACCAATAAGTGATCATTTATAGATTTGTAGCATTCATGCTATAATCCATAAATGAAGTTCCATGAGGAACTAAGGATGGATCATTGAATCATATACAGTGAATCACTTTAACATAACCATGGCATCGGACATGAGTTTTTCTAAACATTTACATTATTTTATGTAAATTATTTACCTCATTTAGCAGCTGCTCTTATCCAGAATCATATTAGGAGCATTTACTGAAGGCTTTTATTTATTGGATAGTGTTATCCACTATGCTGTCTGTTTCACTGCTTTCAGAAGAATGGAAATGACCACCACTGGTGACAGTACATGCGCATTGCTGTGAAGGAAGCCACCTTGTAAAGCCTGAAATAATTATAATAATAAAAGTCAAAGGCCTTAGGTCAGATTTGGTTCAAGGAACTTGTATAGTGTAGCTTTAATAAAGAACTCAGAGGGTTCTGGTAAAGCTGTGGGCCCTGGAGTGGCCTTTGAATGGTTTTGATGTGAAGAAGAACTTAAGAATAAGAACTCAGGATCCACTTCTGATCCGTATGTTATTATCTTTCTCTTCCTGCAGTTGAATAATAAGTTCATGAAGAAAATCCCTCGGGATGCGGAGGCGTCTAACGTTTTGGTGGGGGAGGTGGACTTCCTGGATTCTCCCTTTGTGGCATTCGTGCGGCTGCAGCAGGCCGTCATGCTGGGGGGACTCACTGAAGTCCCTGTACCAACTCGGTAATCACCAGCAGCACAACACATTGCATACAACACATTGTTTTTATTGTAGGAAAACTTTTTTCACCTGGCTTGACTGAACAGCATAGACTGTATGGATATAGACAAGTGTACTACACTGCCAGTCAAACGTTTGGACACATCTAACCGAGTATACAGTTTTCGTAATATTAAAGACATTTTAATCAACAGCCTTTTGCTTGAGTTTGATACAGATCAGCTTCGTTTGTGTCACATGATAATGTTGAGATTTGTGATTTTGATACTTATTCTTAGCCAAAACTAGTTATGTCTGCCTAATTGTCTAATTTGTGCGCCCAACTGACAAAAAGACGACATCCTGTAAGAGACGTTAAGAGTGAGATGCTCCCTGTTTTCTCTGTTAGGATTGTGTACTGTACAGCCAGGATTAAATTCAACGATTAAATTCATATTCAATTTATTTCTAAGACAAATACAAATAGTAAAATAAATCCCTATGTAGGAAATTCAGTTTTAAGAAAATAAATCATTTTCTAAAACAAAACATATCATTTCAATAAAAAAAAAAACAAAAAAAACAAAACAAACATTTTTTAATGCAACAACAAGCATCTGTATCTTCTTCAGTCCTGAGGGAAAAGCATCTCAGGGGGCTCCTCATGAAGCTGCTTGAGAGAATGATTAAGAGTGTGTAAAACTGCTTATTTTAAAAATATCTAAAATCTAAAACAGAAGATACTTTGGATTTATTTAACACTTTTATGACTCTGTGTAGTTCCATATGTGTTATTCATAACCATGAGGTCTTCACTATTATTCTAAAATGTGGAAAATAGTAAAAATGAGGGAAACTCTTCAAATTCAACTTTAGTCCATCTGTTCATCTTCAGACTGTAGTCCATCTGTTTCTCTGCATACTTTGTCAGCCCCCTTTTATCCAGTTCTCTGTGGTCAGGACCCCCATGGACCCTCACAGAGCAGGTACTATTTGGGTGGTGGGTCATTCTCAGCACTGCAGTAACAGTGGTGGTGTGTTAGTGTGTGTTGTGCTGGTACGAGTGGATCAGACACAGCAGTGCTGCTGAAGTTTTTAAACACTGTGTCCACTCACTGTCCACTCTATTAGACACGCCTACCTTGTCAGTCCACCTTGTAGATGTAAAGTCAGAGACGATAGCTCATCTGCTGCTGCACAGTTTGTGTTGGTCATCCTCTAGTCCTTCATCAGTGGTCACAGGACGCTGCCCACAGGACGCTGTTGGCGGGATATTTTTGGTTGGTGGACTATTCACAGTCCAGCAGTGATGCTGATCCACTCGTACCGGCGCAACACACATTAACACAACACCACCACATCAGTGTAACTGCAGTGCTGAGAATGATCCTCCACCCTAATAGTACCTGCTCTGTGAGGGTCCATGGGGGTCCTGACGACTGAAGAACAGGGTAAAAGGGGGCTAACAAAGTATCAGAGAAACAGATGGACTACAGTCTGTAACTGTAGAACTACAAAGTGCACCTATATAGTAAGTGGAGCTGATAAAATGGACAATGAGCGTAGAAACAAGGAGGTGGTCATAATGTTATGCCTGATTGATGTATGTGTGCACTTCATATTGTGCCTCATGTTGCAGTGTGTTTGCACTGCTCTGGAACATTCTACCAAGAATTTCACTACATGTATTATACATTATTATACATTATAGCTCCTGTATATGACAACTACAACATCGTTGACCCTTTTGAAGGCAGAAGACATTTTTTTGAGCTCAAATTTGATTTTGGTTCTTACATTTTGGGGAAGCTTTAAATGATCAGACTGGTGACTAGTCACGATAGAAAGTTTAGATGTTCTGAAAGTGCAGCTGATAAACTCAGAAATGACTTTGAGTACAGAATACAGATTCAGAAAACGGAAAACTTGTACAGTTTAATGATTAGTTTTCTTTCTCTTTCCGATGACCTGTGATGAGGTTGTGACCTGAACCTCACAATTAAATATTTACTTGTGGGAACTGACTGATATGGTCGATATAGGATGTTGCTACCTATGTGTGCAAGGTTATGCATTATTTAAAGTATTGGTAACACTTTACAATAAGTCTACTCTTATAAAGAGTTTATGAATGATTTGAAATTTGTTAATGGTTATTAATTAGATCACTAAATAATAATGATAAGCAGTTATGACACATAAAAATAAAAGGTCAGCCGTTACCTATTGTTTGCCCAGTAGTGAACAGTGAATCGTCTACTGTTAAAGCTCAGATCTTGCTGGTTTCTGATCTTCATGAGTCAACAATAAGCCTGTCAGCTTCATCACATATTCATATTCATTAAATTAGAACAGCTCACTGTCTGCCTTTTTATTTATTTAGATAACTTCTTATTAATTATTTTTTTAAATTCTTGACCTTTTAAACTATTTTAAACAATTTTAAGAGTATTCTTATTGTGCGGTCGTAACATATTACAAAAAAAATGTAATCTTGTTTGGAGCTGCTGTGAAAATGTATTTGATATTTGTTTGTGTTGTTTTAAAGGTTCTTGTTTGTTCTCCTGGGGCCCAAAGGAAAAGCCAGATCGTACCATGAGATCGGTCGAGCCATTGCTACTCTCATGTCAGATGAGGTAGGTCTACTTTAGGTTGTGTGAGAGTGTGTTTTACAAGATTATCACTCTCTAATAGATGAAAGGTCCTGGGTAGGTCACTGTAGTCGAGGAGATTCTCACAGAGAGGCTAAAGGATAAAGAAAAGCCTTCTGAGAATCTCACATATAGTTCCACAGGACACACACATCCCTCTTTAGTTCACACTATTAGGTTGCCAGTTTACCAACACACAGTCAGACACCTGCGTAAGTTAATTCTTCACTGCCTGTTGATTAGTGATGGCTGCCAATCCCAGGCATCTGTTACATCACCTCTACAGAACTGTGTCCAGCTCTCTTACAGCTTGAAAGTATGCTCATTCAACATGGCTAAGAAATCAGAATTAAAATTAGAAAAAAAACAGTATTAAAAAACAAGAACATAATTAATAATATAAAAATACAAAGTACCAATTGCTTATAAACTGCAAGTCTAAAAGGTTCCAGACAAATATGTGTTAAAAAATGTTCCCGAAAGCTGTTTTTTGTACTTCATTTTTGGAAATGTTTGTCAGGCCTGCGCTTGATGATCTTAAAGCATCATTTGGAACATATTCTCTCAGGCATTCAGAGCTGTATGACGATGCTAATCCAATAAGAGCTTTAAAAACCAACAGAATAATCTTAAAATCAGCCCTAACAAACAGGCAGCCAGTGAAATTATTATAAAGTCAACGTTGGAATATCCGTGTTTGTTTGATATTGTTTGGGCTTCCAGAGCACCGAAGAATGACTGTGGAATCTTCAAGCTTTTCAATATTTGTTTAGTCCAAACTTCTTTAGCTTGTTTAGGTTTCTTTTTGAGCCATACAGCAGCTTAATACTCTGCCTGTGATTGGCCAGCAACACTGTGTATTGATAACTAGACAAAAAATAAACCATTTGTTCTCTTATTTTGGTTCTATTCTCTGATGTCTCTAATGCTATGTGCTGTATCCCATACCTTAGGTGTTCCATGACATCGCATACAAGGCCAAGGATCGGGGCGACCTATTGGCTGGCATCGAGGAGTTCCTAGATGAGGTCATAGTGCTGCCTCCAGGAGAGTGGGACCCTGACATCCGGATTGAACCCCCCAAAACAATACCATCTGCTGACAAACGGTACACGCTGGAGATCAGATACTGAGCTTTTAAAACATCTGCCCAACTTAACATCATTTACCACAACCCAAATGGAGTCATCAGTGGAATCGTGCAGTTCTGAGAAAGTGGTCAAGAGATGAACGATCTAATATGGTTGTTTATTAATTGTTGTATGTGCAGTAAGAACAACCTGGCAGGTGGAGATGGTTTCCAGATGAACGGAGATGCTCCTCATGAAGGGGGTGCAGGAGGAGGAGGCGGAGGCCACCAAGTTGGTGACGAGCTCAAGTTCACTGGCAGGTGAGTATGCGAGTGCAGGCCTATGTGTAATTATACCACATGTACATAGAGCCACACCAGATGCAGCGATGTAAATAGAGAAATCCACACTGCAGTATCCTAACAGATCTGTATATACATGTAATACTGTATAAACGCTATAAAATATTACATGTACAGTTAATTTCTTTCTCTCTGTCTCTCTTTTCCTCCCCCTCCGCACCCCTACAGGTTTTGCGGTGGTCTTATGCTGGACGTAAAACGAAAGCTGCCGTATTTTGCGAGCGACTTCTACGATGCTCTGAACATCCAGTCCTTGTCTGCCATCTTGTTTATTTACCTGGGTACCGTCACCAACGCCATTACCTTTGGCGGGTTGCTAGGAGACGCCACGGAGAACATGCAGGTACAAAAGATCATTGCTCATCTAATTAGTCTAATGGTTTAATGAACTTTGGAAGATGTGGTGCACACTTTAAGAGAGAGGCAGTGCGTGTGTGTTTAAGTAAGTGGTAGATTTGTCCGCTGTCTCAGCTTCAGAGCAGATATTCAAATACAGGTTGGCCCACATGTTCAGCTGACTCACATCGCTCGGAAATGATGTTGTTGTCTGCTGTCATAGATCAGGCTCAAAGCTGGCTGTTATTACTGTTCTTAGGCAGCATTCTTTGTTTCATAGATAACATTATATGAATATACGAATATAACATTATATATTCAGAAAGATTCAACTGATTTCAAAATGATTTATTTCACTTGTAAATCATTACAGAACAGTGCAGTAAACTGTAAATGGTTTAAGTGAGCATAAAGTTTATTATGTAATTTTATAAGTGCTCAGTTTGAACCTCCTCCAGCTGTACGGACAACATCAACACCATAGTCAAATTCATCCCATACTGGATTGAGCATGTCGGGTGTCGCTGCACTCACGGCTCTTTCAATGCGATTTCGGAGATCATCCAGTGTTGTGGAACCAACGACGAACGCTCTGAGTTGTTGGAGGTTCACTGCAGACGAAAATCACGCTGCACAGTTATGACGGATTCACTCTTATTGAAGTGGAGAACGCAGAATACTTTCTGCTCAGGGGTCGAATCTCCTCGCAGACTGAAGGGAGCCATCTTCTGGTGACAGTCAGAAACTCCCTCTATGACCCCCTCTTTCAATTGGTATGTGATTGGTTCCTGGGCGCCTCACGGTCACAAAAATATGGCACTTTGAAATCGGATTAATCATTTTGAATCACCCTGTATTGTGGACTCCACACAGTTTGAGGGAGGTGTGTGATGGTTTAGGCATGTAGTTTGCACAGTGCTTGTTGGTAGGGTACAGGCTTCAATGATGTGCTACATTAGCCTTGTAATGTCACAGACGGAAGGCATTGAGGCAGGATGGAAGTGCAAGTAAAAATTGATTTATTTAACGTTACACTACAAAACACAGAAAACATAAACCAAACACCGCAAAATCGACACAAGGCCAGACAAATAAGGCAGGGAAACATGAGGGCTACTTATACATAACACAAGACTGGAAGCACCTGGACTAAAAAGATGCGTCTTGGCCCACAATACAGGACAATCGGACCCGGAAAAATGCTACTCCGGAAATTGCAAAAAGTCTCCAACCTTTGGTCTTTCATGTGGAGCAGTGGTATCCGCTATGCTATCCAACCATTATTAGATTAATCTGATTCAGGTTATGCATCGCCAGGCAGCACTAAATCGAACCTCACCATGTGGTTAGTTTATTCACTCATATCATTGTCTCATACTGAATGGCAGCTACAGCTCTATCATAGCAGAGCTGCAGGTCCCTAAATTATCAAACATCACACATTAGGAAACGTGGATAAAACAACCACTGCTTTCCATTTAGGGTATATTAGTGCATTACAAGACAGGACAGGATTAGAGAGGCTCATTCACGAGCCCCAGTCCTACTCCTCATTCAGTGTGTTTAGGAAACCTGATAATGACCTACAGCCTCCTCTGAGTACTTTTATTTTTAGCCCTAAGTGAGCTTCCACTGTGATTCCTAGAGACATGCGTCATAGGCTTTTTTGCTGCTGATCTGGGATCAGTGTGGCTCTCTCTGTTGTCCTGTTGTCATTGCCATAAGTAACCAGTTACCATAACAGCAGAACTGATTCAGAAACAGCTTCTGAGATGCTTTTGGATTTGGCTTGAGTTCGTCAGTGCAGATCTAGCAGGTGGAATTTCAAATTCACCTGGATTAAATGTTATTTCTGTACAGTCCTGATTTGGTGCAGCGAGATAAGTCTCTGCAAATATAGACATAAATAAATTAAATATTTTTTTTCGTGATTTAGTCATTAATAATGTTAATGCCCTATTCTGTGTCTCTGTTTGTTTAGCTATCTATCAACACAGATATGTAGATAAAGGGGATGACCAAAATAATGGAAGCACTACATGAAATATTCATACTCATTGTTTTATCTGGTACACCAACCATATAGGTGCACATTGTAGGTGTACAGTTACTGACTGTATCCCATCTGTTGCTTCCCCATTCATCAGTGGTCAATTTCTCAGGGCCTCAGGGCTGCTGTGGTCCAGATATTATGTGGCTAGTGGTCCATTCTCAACACAGGAGTGACACTGACGTGGTAGTATGAGGGTTTTTACACACGTTACCTGACACTACAAGGTTGAGACTCGACCATCAACCAAAAATATCTGGACAGAAACTGACCATTGATAAAGAGCTAAAGGATAACTGACATCAGCTGTGCATCAACAAATGGGCTACAGTCTCTAATTGTATAATTACGTAGGTTTGTCTAATAAGGTGGCCAATAAGTGCAGACAAAACCCCAACAACGCTATTGGTGCTGGACACTGTTGTACCAGTACAGCACACATGCTATTCCCATGACACTGTCACTGCTGAGATTAGTCCACCAGATCACACCCAGGTTTCCTACTTCAGGTTTGGTGTATGAAGCTAAGGAACCAAGTTTCTCATAAAGCATTTTTCTCTGAGTTTCTATTTCATGTTTTTTTGTGATTTAAATAGAACATTTCGCAACATCTACTGAGAGATATCTGACAGCTGGTCAGTCTGTCTGCAGAGCCTTGGTCATCAGAAGCAATGGAAATGTATAACTGGGTGTCGTCAGCATAGCTATGAAAATTTATATTATGTTTTGTGGTGAGATTAAGTCACAGAAACAGTGAAAATGAAAAGATCTTTCACTGTTAAATAATCCACCTGTAAGAAGGCGACGAGCCCTCATCAGCATCCAGTACTGTACCGGTTAGCATTAGCTCATTAGCTTGTGTAAAGAGTTAGCCTCCGTTACTCACCCAGATCGAAAAACCTTTGTTTGTTTTGCTTTTCTCGTCAATATGGTTGACTAGTTGTCTGTTCATTAACTCTTACAGCTACTCGACAGAGCATGTTTTTATGATGCAGAGACAGTGTGGTCACACTATATAGCATATACAGTATGTGAAGTCCAGCATTGCATGCCACTGCAGCAAGTGACTGTTAGTGCGCATGCATAGCCAGGCTATAGTTAGTGTTGGATTTAGCAGTGTGCTGTATGTTGTAGTGTATACCAAGAAAGGGTAAAGCAGGGGAAGATGTCACACACACATACAGTAAGAGATATAGTGGTGGGGGTGTTGGGGGATTTGGTGTGTATTTATAGTAGGTGTGTGTGTGTGGTGTATGCAGCCATGTGCCGTGGAATAGAAGGCTGTGCTTCATATTTAGATCTGCAGGTGCTCCATGTGGCACAGGCTAAGGAGGATCAGCTTCACTTTAAATAGAGTCGGATTACTAAGCACACACGCTCACACGCTCTCTCTCCTTCTCAGGGAATCCCTCTCCTAGCGCCTGTGCTGTTAACCTCAGAACTCAGAAAGGTCCTCACACAGTATGTAGACCTCCAGTCCCCAAGCTCATGAAGAGTCGAGGAAGATTTAGCGATTAAAAATGACAAGAAGTGAGAAGTTTCGTTCCGACAGCGATTCTATAGTTATAGTGTGAGAAGAGACTGTATGACTGATGACTTTGCGCATCCTCTGCCTTTGGCCAGAAAGCAAAAAAGTAGGGTCCGTTTTTTGATGACCAGAGGTAGTCTGACCGTCTGAGGAACAGGGAGGAGAGGGCAGGTGGTGAGGTATGAATTTGTAGGACGTTAGATTGGGAGGAGGAGGGGCTTCAGGCATGGTTCTCTTCCAAACATGAGCTATTTAACTCCATGTGTTGGTTTGAGAGGTTTAGGCTGGTTCAGTTTAGTCTGGTGGCTTATTTACGCAGAGAAAACTCCCACTGATGTTGTAGCATCAAGTTTCATGAACCCAGAAAGATTTATTTTTGTTTGTTGTTTCACATGTTTATGAACAGAAGAAGGCAAAAACACTTCTTGCTTCTTTTGCCAAAGTTTAGTGTCAACTGAGGCCTTTGTCCGCACTGGGGATGAGCATTTCAGTTAAGTTGAAGTCCAGTAATATTTGAATTTGTGAAGCATGCTTAGAAATAAAATAAGTATAGGACACAGTCTGCTGCACAGCAGAGACGTCAGGTTGAAACCACCAGAGATGGTGAAGAAATTTACACAGAGAAAGGTGTCAGTCTAAAGTCTTTAAGATAAAGAAATTCGGTAATGCTTTATTTGGATTAGTCCACTTTAAATGCTTTGTAGATACTTAATTTACTTTCAAGTTACATTCAACTAAATATCTACTAAATTAACCATAATTGTCTTTAACTCTAAACCTGGCTCTAATCCTAACCCTAACCCCACCACTGTTTGAACATACAGTGTATGTTCACCAATTTGGACATATAACATATTATATATATATATATATTTATATACAATCTGTAGGGGACCATAGTGGACTATCCAAATAAAGTCAGACCACAAATTCTAATTGTGTGTTTTCATTTCAGCTGATGTTATTAACCTAGCCAAAAACAGTGAGTTAATTAGCTGATATCAAAAATGCTAAATTCACTAAATTAGTGATGTTGCAGGTTTTCTTCCATTCAATCTATGTGAGTAGAGTGTAAAATGACACAGCATTTGATGTTTTTTGGACTTTTTCTCTATTATCTGCTACCCTTTGCCAGTGTCATAAACCACATCAACATATCAGTGCAACATTAATGAAGACCAGGATGTAGGTTGAGAGACGTTTTTGGGGATGCGTTTATGAATTTGGGTGCCTATTGACTCACTGTGTTCCATCACTAAACTGAAACAGGTTTTCGCTGAAAGTGTCAATTAAAAATCTGGACCGTTTGGCCCCCGAACATATTTTCACTTCCACTTGTGGATACACCACAATGACCTTCACAGCAGCGTCGCTCAAACGGACGTTTACGCTTTTTCATTACTCATTTATCAACTCGTTTATCACCAGACAGCACAGTGCGTGGAGATTCTGCGAGGAGCCGTAACCTGTACAGTCAAAGGATTCTTCCCATAATGATGTGGTCAATGTGTAACCCAAGCAGTGCTACAGTTAAATGCACAAACAAATGAGGCGTGAAAAAGAAAGACTCGTGCTGTGGAATCTCAACAGTCAGAGAGCAAGGACGCGCTAATCTGAAACAGAGAATCAGCCAGCGGCGCCTGAGCTCTCGGCCGCAGTGTCAGACCGCTCTGCCACGAGAACCTGCATAACTGTCAATGCAAGTCACAACTTGTGACCCTGAGCTTCAGGAAAGAGAGATGAAGTTGTGGTGGGTTTGCTGAAGCTCAGATATATGCAGACAGTGTGTGTGTCGTATATTCTGATCATGCACAACACACATGCCCTAGTTTGGAAACAGCAGTTTGTCTGACTCTGCAGTTTCACAGTTGTCTTGTAGCAGCTTCCAGGCAACTCATGGAGACGATATTTGATGCTTGTGTTCCTCGTTGTTGTTGCTAAATAAACTTCCCCCCGTCCCTCTTCTCTTTTCATTTCTTTCTTTTTGTATGCATCTCTCTCTGTGCATAGTTCAGTTCTCCTTGTCTCTCTCTTTTATTTCTCCATCTTTTTTCTGTACTTTTCTCTGTCTGTCTGTTTGTCTGTTTATATCTGTCTATTATGTAGCAATTTCAGTACATGTTGAAAAATCAGATGTGAAACAGTGTAAACAGTGTATCGAAATTTAACACGGTATCGCCGATATGGCCCTCATGGAAACCACTGCCAATGAGTGAAACTAGACAGCTGGGTTCAGCCTATGGGAGTACAGTGGGCAAGGAGGGGGCGGGGCTTATGCATGAACCCACACCCAAATGATTGGGCTTTTTATGAATCAGTTTCCAGGGCTGTGATATTTGTGGATAGCTTGTTTAGATGGCAAACTTTTGGAGAATTTCTGCTGGAGAAATTTTACTTATTAGAGGAAAACCAAGCTGTGTAGTTTACAAACAGAGCTCTATGGAGACGAGACACGTTTAACATATAAAACTGAATTAAGGTCATATTGAATTAAGTTCATATGCCCAGCACACTAGGGCATATGTGCATCATTATGCCCTAGTGTGCTGCGTGTATGCAAACATGAATATGTACATCCTTATTTTTATTTATTATGTATTATTATGCCCTCTACTGTTTACCTATCTGTATATCTGTCTATCCATCTGTCTGTCTATCTGTCTATCCATCTGTCTATCCATCTGTCTGTCTGTCTATCTATCTATCTATCTATCTATCTGTCTGTCTATCTGTCTATTCATCCATCCATCCCGCAGTCCAGTTCAGCAGTGGTTTGTGGGCAGAGCATAAACTACAAAAATGAAGCTGTTTGCATGATTTACACATCATCAGCAGTTCTGTAAATAATATGTTGATCTCTCTCTCTCTCTCTCTCTCTCTCTCTCTCTCTCTCTCTCTCTCTGTCGGTCTGTCTGCAGGGTGTTTTGGAGAGTTTTGTGGGGACGGCGTTAGCGGGGGCAGTTTTCTGTCTGTTGGCTGGTCAGCCTCTCACCATCCTCAGCAGCACTGGACCAGTGCTCGTCTTCGAACGTCTGCTCTTCAACTTCAGCAAGTGAGTGGGACTAACACACACACACACACACACACACACACACACACACACACACACACACACGCACGCACATACAGATACATGCATACTCTTGATTCCAAAGTCAGCCAAGGACAATGTTGAGTCATGGTGAAGCATCCAGGGTTACTTTTTTCTCTCTCTCACTCTCTCTGTTCCTCTCTCTCTGTCTCTCTCTCTCTCTCTCTCTCAGTCTGTGTCTGCCTGCTTATCAGGTTTCAGGTGTGTGGTGTGTGTGTGTCTGTGTGTGTGTGTCTGTGTGTGTGTGTTTGTGTTCCATTATAAATAATTGAGACAGATTTCATGTGTACGTCCCGTACAGTGAGACTACAACTGCATGCTATTTAAATTATAATTATAATAGATATAAATATGTAATATTATTAATATGTAATAACATTAATTATATATATTGTCACTCCCTGAACAAAACCTCCATTTCTCCATTTCAGTACATTTTTATTTTATGACATAATATGAAAACGTCCGATGTGTCAAAATTTCATGATAAAAGGATCAATAGAAATGGTTCAGAATGACTGGAAAATTGTTTTTTGATTATTTTTATGTATTCTAATGTTCTCATATTTACTGCCCTGATAAAAAGGCTTTTTAAATCTCTAAATACTGAACATTGTTTGTACATGATTGTATCTCCAAAAAGGTAACCTTATAGAAGAAGGAAAAAACATTCTCAACTCTTAATGTAAATTAATGTAACATAACAATAATCTAACAATTGTTTCCAAGCACTGAATCCAGCTCTCTGAATTGTTCAGAGACGGCTTGTTTTCAGAGACACCTATATATTTTAACCCTTGTGTGGTGTTGATGTGTTTAAATCAACACAGCCATAACAATTTATGTAAAACTACCAGATGTTTAAAATATCACAAGTGGCCAGCGTAGAGTTCTCCTTTAGCAGCTGTAGCCAGTCAGCAGCCTGTCCATGTTGTCCACCCTCACACACACACACACATATACAAACACACACACACACACACACACACACACTAACAGCAGGCCATGTAGGAGGAGAACAGAGTGAAGGACACAGCACCTCCACACTTTTACTCCCCGTGGGTTCACCCAACACCACGTGTGTAATATAAATGTGTGGGGGGTGAACAGAGTGAAGGCGTTGAAAATGGGTTATTTTATTGTTCTTCACATTATCTTCACAGACCAAGGCCAAGAAATCTGGGGTTGAAATAATAGAAATCACATCATTTTTTCTTTTGGTAAACATAGACCTGAACACCACACAAGGGTTAATAGGTGCATTTTTGGACTTTGAATTGGTTGATTAGTCAGTGATACTAACTGTGACCGTCTTTTTCAGGGACAATGGGTTTGACTACCTGGAGTTTCGGCTGTGGATCGGCCTGTGGTCAGCCTTTCTCTGTCTGGTCCTGGTTGCAACAGATGCGAGTTTTCTGGTGCAGTATTTCACGCGCTTCACTGAGGAAGGCTTCTCGGCTCTCATCAGCTTCATCTTTATCTATGATTCCTTCAAGAAGATGCTGAAGCTCGCACATTACCACCCCATCAACTCTCACTTCGACAGGGACCTAATCACGCAGTACAGCTGCCACTGCACTCCGCCGGAAGGTACGACAGTGTGTGTGTGTGTGTGCAGTTGTGTCATTGTCTATGTATATATTTGTATATATATGTGTGCTGCAGCTTGACACTACACCTTTTATTTAAACAGGCAACAATTCTGTCTTGGATGAAAAAATAGAAGCACTACTCAACTCCTCTGGACAGGTGTGTACATACATGCTCAGATAGACCCTAAGAGGGCTTTGAGCCCCTGCCTCTTTGCAAGCTGTAGAAATGCCCGGTTAGCAGGTCTAATAATAAGGCCTTGAGTTTTATACGGCCTAACTGGCACTAATTTTGTTATCAGCTGAGGAAATGTGGTTATTTTGAACAACAACCAAACATATTGTCAACGATAATACCTGCACTGTTAAAAATGTGAGGTCAGCTCAACTCAAAATTATACAGTAACTGATTACATGGCTTTTCTTGAGTTGACTCAACTTGAGGACACAAGTTCACACAAGTCAAACTTCTTAGTGGAGTCAAAAGTTCTCTCAATTTTTTAGTTCTGCATCTCGGTGAGGTAAATAAAATTAGATTGTTTTTTTATACTCATCTTCCCCACCAGTCAGGACTCTCTCCATCCCACAATCCTGCTAGACGTTCTTCCTCTAGGGTACGCACTTATGGATGGCTATGGCATCGCTGGGACTCAAACTCACAACCTCCTGTTGGGTTGACGGCTTAGTCCACTGCACCATTCAGGAACACATGAAGCAACTCAGCTTATGTGTCTACAAATGTTTAATACACTGGAGAAAATATTTGTTGTTTTAACTTTAAAGCAAGGCATCGTCTCATGTGGTGCAGCTGTCTAATAATTCATCCCATCATCAGGAGGTTGTGAGTTTGAATCCCAGCAATGCCAAAGCTGTCTGCATCCAGAAGCCCAAGAGGAAAATATGCCAGATGGGTCTGTGTGATAGAAGGAGTGCCAGCTAGTGGAGAAACTGAATAAAAAACACAAATTCTGTTTTGTTTATCTAACAGAGATGCAGACCTAGAAACAGCAGCTGGGAGAATTTTTGACTGAGCTAAGAAGTTTGAGTTGAGTCCACTCAAGAAAAGCCATGTAATCAGTTACTATATCATTTTAAGCTGAGCTGACCTCTCATTTTCACTGTGTGGCTAAACCAAGTTTCTGTTATTGTGAAAGATCAGAAATTTATACCAGGAGCTTTTGGAGTTATAGGTCACTCATGTTGGAGACTGGGCTTCGAGTCCCTGCTGATGCAGCAATGCAAACATTTTTTGCACTATTTGTTTGACTGTGATTGCTTTCCTCTTAACCGTGATTACACTGTTTCTCTTGAAAAGAGTGTTTGCAGTAAGCCGTAAATTAAATGGCGTTTAAATTAATGTTCATGTTGCCCTTTTTTTTTGCCCCAAAGCTCCTGCCCCTCAAAATGTCTGTGTACCCCTATAGTGGGCAAAACCTAATCACTTCTTAATACTTAATAAAACGTATTAACTGCATTAATATTTTATCGGTATGTCAGTAATTACCGGTAAAATATGTCTGTAGGTTAATGTTATATAGTAAGGATTTTATGTGTGTTGGTGTTTGTGTGTATGTATAAATGTGTGTGTGTGTTTCTCCAGAAGCACTGGAATGCCACCTGGTCGTCGTTGTCTCGCTCTGAGTGTTTGGAGTGGGGTGGGGTTCTGAAGGGCGAAGCTTGTAAATTTGTCCCTGACATCACGCTGATGTCATTCATCCTGTTCCTGGGCACGTACACCTGCTCCATGGGCTTAAAGAAGTTTAAAACCAGCAGGTTCTTCCCTACAATGGTACGCACATACACACACACACACACACAATAGCACACACTACATTGCATAGATTTGCTTGTTTAAAACCAGCACATTGTAGCCTTGAGAACCAGGCTTCTTGCTGCGGGCAGAGGGTCCTGCATAATGTGGCCAAGAACCTTCACCTTGTCAGGAGGAGGATATTTGACAGCCAAGCCAAACAAAATCACAGCACACAGTTTTGGTATGTGGGGGGAAGCAAAGAAAATCCAAGGATACATATCTTGCTCTTTTTGATCTGCATCGCTGTGGAAACGATCAGCATGATAATTGATACAAAGATGGTGTGGACCAGATCCTGAGAACATACACAGGTGCTGAGCCGAGATCTAAAACGTTCCTGTCTTTCTGATAAACCTGCTCATGGCCTTGGCAGTGTAGGTGGAAAATAGCCATCGCTAAATCCTGCCAAAAATGTAATATCTGCGTTAATACTGCGACTCCACACTCATTAAAAGCTCATTAATCTCCATTTGCTTCCAGTCGGGTAGTTATGCCTGATCCTCAATGGCATGTCTGCAGAATGTGTAAATCACAGCTGATTGATTGATGGAGTAAGTTGTTGGTGATGTCTATATATCATCCGTGCCGTTCTTGTAGACTACTGTTCCAAAGTTTGGAATCACTTTATTGAGTAATATAAAAACATTCTGCAGACAAATGTGTAAAGTTATTCTATTATGCTACCCTGTGCAACTTCGCAGGTTTCAAAGCTGTAAATAAGAATAAAGAAACGTTAGACGTGAACAGATGACTCTAAAATGACTGAGAAATCTGTGTAACATTGAGCATTAAGTAAATAAAATATGTATCCAGAATCCATCATATTTCAAATGTCAAGGCAGACTAAAAATAATGTAAATAGATAATTATAGTATGTTATTTATCATTTTAATCACTTTTTGTCCACAGAAACATAATAAATAATTTAAAACACAGACAGTTTTGCTCACTTCTACCCCTGAAGAATATCTGTAAAACAATTGAATGACACAAGTTACTGAAATCTTTCAGTGACAAAATGTAGAAATTGTTATCCTGAAATATAACAACAGCAAATTCATATGTATGTTTAATCCTAAAGGCATTAAAAAGACAGAATAGTATTCTGAATGTATTTTTGTTATTACTAATTGATGTTCTGTTGGCTGATTAATTGATTCTAGGTGCGTAAGCTGATCAGTGACTTCGCCATCATTCTGGCCATTCTGATCTTCTGTGGGATAGACGCGATGGTTGGAGTGGACACACCAAAACTACTAGTGCCAAGTGAATTTAAGGTGAGTTTTGTAAGAGTGAGTGAAGCTGCAGTCACTCTAGACCAGGGGTCAGCAATGTGGGGCTCCGGAGCTGCATGCAGCTCTTTTACTGCCCTGTTGCGGCTCCACAGCAGAATTAGATTTGTAGGTAAAAATAAAATAATCCTCCTTTACAGTAAAATAAAGCTCTGCTAATCGTTCAACACAGTTTAACAATAAATGATCTTAAACTCTGGAGTTAATGTAGAACTGCTAATTCACCCTTTAACCCTGAAGATCAGCGCAGACTGCTGGTCACCATAGCAAAACAGACAACAATCTCGCCCAGCTAGTAGCTACGAAACGGCAAAGAGAGAGATTTAAGATGAACATCGATAATTTGGAGATGAATGGACTTATTTGCGTTTATAATCACTCCAGCTGGTTTCCTGACACGTTTAATCTGAAACGAGAAACTGTCAAACACTGAAAAGTCACGAATCTGAAGTCTGTTTTTCGTTCGCCAGCTTCTGGCGCCTCAGGCACCTTTTAAGGTGGAACAGAAAAATTTAAACAATAAGCTGGCAAATGAGAAGCGACTTCAGCCACGTAAAAAACCAAACGTTGAGAGACATTTTACTGTTGGAGATGCGGGTAAAGCGGGTATAGCTGAGCTAAAGCTTAAAGCAGAGCAAAGTAAGTCTGCATTTTCATTTATATTATATTTTTAGCTTATATTAGGACATAAGCACATACTAAAACATATTTACAGCCAAGATGGTAAAACGTTACTTCAATAAAATGGACATAAAATATTGTGGCTCCCAAGGTGGTTTGTTTTTTGTTGAAATGACAAAATGGCTCTTAGCGTTTGAGTTGCCGACCTCTGCACTAGACATTTTGCAGTTCGTGTCACCTTGTGAAATGGGTGTGACCGAGTCTGGACCAGACGACTGTTGATGAAAAAGTCCTTCATGTTGGTGTAGTTAGCAAGCGAGCTAACTCAATAACCATAAACAGCAAAAACACAAAAGTGAACATATTTATACCAGATAATTATATCTGAGAGGGTATAGTGCTGCTCACTGAACTGTAGCTAATATGTAGATGACTGGTGTGATTGAACTGTGCAGCTGCGAGTTAACATAGCTGTTAGCAAGAAGGCTAACTCACTTGCTAAAAACAGTAAGACACAAAGGTGAACTTGATTATAGATAATTATCAGATGATTTTGCACTCACCAGAGCACAGTGCTGCACAATGATCTGTAGCAAAAGATAACCAGTGTGGTCAGCAGCAGTGGGGTGATTTGTGTGCAGCTGCTGTTAGCCAGCAAGCTGACTACACAGTTAGCAAGCTGGCTAACTCGCCTACCATAAAGCAGAAAATCGCCAGAGTAACTGACTGACGAGCTGCGTACCAAAGCCTAGGCTGCAGCCGAGGTAGTGCGGGTCCTCTGTAGGACTACAAAGACTCCTCCTTAGTAGCCTATTGGTCACACGAATGGAGCCGTCCTAACGAGACTGCGTGCTGACACCACCAGAGCGGCGTGAAACTCGTGAGAGAACTGGTGAGAGAAAATGGAGCCTGTTGTGTTTGTTGCTTTTTTATTTCTTTACGGAAATGGAGGAGATGTTCTTATGTAGTACGATAAACTACATATATAAACACTTCTAAATAAAATACGATATATGGACGAAAGCTTTAATTAATCAGCAATTTTACACTTTATAAGGTAACGAAGGCAAATTCAAGTACGTGAACAACTTACATTTTTAGCCCAGCTCTGTTCCAACGGCTTCGTTTTCCGTCATTCTCATGGTGCTTCGCGTCGGCCTAGGCTTTGGAACGCAGCTTGCGTATCATGCAGTCTCTCCTTCATTCTGAACAAAATAAGGAAGGCTGACTCTGTTGTAGGAGTCAAGCTGGACTCTTTGGAGGTTGTGGCAGAACAGAGGATGCTCAACAAGCTGTTAGCCATCTTGGACAACATCTCAGACCCCCTGCATGCTACACTGGATAAACAGAGAAACAGAGAAGCTCATTTAGTGGCCGTCTGTTACAGCTGCGCTGTGTTAAAGAGGCCGTGTGAGATCTTTCTTACCCACTGATATACGGCTCTACAGCGAGTCTCCTTACTGCAGAGACGGTACTGATCTCCTGCTGTCCGAACTGAGCTGAACCACATCACTGTATCTCCTCTCCTGTTAATACACACTGTGCAATACATCATAACCTATAATACTAATACTAATAATAATAATAATTATTATTATTATCATTATTATTATAATAATGACACTGCGCACTTTACATTGTAATGTTGCTGCAACTCCTAGTTATGTCTGTACTCATTGTGCTTTTAGTTTACCTTACACCACTCAGTGCCTGCTATCATGTAAATACAACAAATCTGGCTCATATGCTATGTATATATACAAATAGATATACATTATTTCTACTCTTATACTTATGTCTATTTTTATTTCTATTATCTATCTATCTGTCTATCTGTCTGTCTATCTATCTATCTATCTATCTATCTATCTATCTATCTATCTATCTATGTGTTTATTTATAGGCAGTGGTTTTGCGGTTAGACACTGGTTAAATAAGCGTTTCCTCCAGTTTGGATATTCAGTGCTGTTGTATGAAGCTCTGCCTCTTCAGAGGTCAGCACAACCAAAGCAGTAGTTCAATTGGTTGAAGATGCAAATTGGTTGTTTACCAGCTCGACATGTCATTTTGCACACAAAGTATATTCGCCACAGAAGTCTGCAACCCGAACATTCCCACTGCAGCAAATTCCATTGAAATGAATGTAATTTCTCTTGTGAACGTTGGCTGGGCCTTAATAGAGGTGAATGAGTTTAGTTTCTGTCTCCTACAATAATCTCTCTTTTCCTGTCTCATGCTGCTTATCATGTAGGTAAAGACACCTGAACCACCCTAACGCACACACAGTGCATCAGATGACTGCGTGATCATTGAAGCTTTACACATACCCACACATGCTCTCACGAGACAGAGAGAGAGCTTTGTTCTACAGAAAGGTTTTAGCTTCCTCTCTGAGAGAGCTCTTGTGTTACTTCGTTACTGTGAGCCTCAGGCTGAGCTGCTCTTTCCAATTCTTAACATTTCCATGAGTGCAGTGTTGAGTGAAATGTGTGTCTGTGTCCCCTCTCCAGCCCACCAGTCCGAACCGCGGCTGGTTTGTGCCCCCTTTCGGAGGAAACCCCTGGTGGGTCTATCTGGCCTCCTCCATACCCGCCCTCCTCGTCACCATCCTCATCTTCATGGATCAGCAGATCACTGCTGTCATCGTCAACAGGAAGGAACACAAGCTCAAGGTTTGTGATTGTGTATGTGTTTATATATATATATATATATATATATATATAAATATATATATATATGTATGTATGTATGTATGTATATATCGCTGTTGTCGGAAGAAAACCTCTTATCTCCATTTTTGTCGTTGAAAATGCCTGTTGCTCTTTACATACATGCCTAAAATGACTTAAAAAAAAAATTGGTTCCATTGACTTACATTTTAAATATTATATTTTATATATTTAAATATATATATATATATATATATATATATATATTTTATACTTGTTTTAAGTGATTTTAGTCAGTCAAATTATGTGCAGGGCATGTAACTTGCCTCCACGTGTGAAATCAGTCACTCTGTATGTTCACAGAGGTCATTATTGACATTTGACAGGTATATGAGGATGACAGTGTCGCAAAACTGGACAGGAAATATTTTACATGTGACACAGGAAACAAAGGACTAGTTTAACAGGATTTACACTGAATAATGAATCGTGATGTAGTGCAAGTTTGTTTCCATTTCACGTCTCTCTTTCTGTCTCTATCTCTCTCCCTCTCTGTCTCTCTCTCTCTCTCCTCCTGTTTGTTTCTTGTTTCAGGAAGTAATGCAGAGAATTGTGCTTGTTTCGAAAAAAGCAATTTAACTATAACTACAATATTCTTATAACAAATATTAGAAATATCGACTGGATTTGAGATTGTTTCATTTGTCAAGACATCATTTTCACACTTTCCTCTGTTAGTTTTTCTCTCCCTCTGTTTTTCTGTCTCTTTCTTTGTCTCTGTCTCATTTTCTCTCTCTCTCTGTCACTCTTTCTTCAATTTCTTTTTCTGCCTTTTTCTTTCTTTTCCAATTCCCTCTCTCTCTCTCTCCCTTGCTCCCTCCTCTCTCTCATTTTCTTCTAAAAGTGAATGAATAGATAAAGAGAAAGAAGGGATGGTCAGACTCCTGTTTACTGTGGGATGTGTGTTTGTGTGTTTGTGTGTTTGTGCTGAGAGCAGAAAGGAGCTGGGTATCACCTGGACCTGTTCTGGGTGGCTGTGCTGATGATCGTGTGTTCGTTTATGGGGCTGCCCTGGTACGTCGCCGCTACTGTCATCTCCATCGCCCACATTGACTCCCTCAAAATGGAGACGGAGACTTCAGCACCGGGGGAGCAGCCCAAATTCCTCGGAGTCAGGTAGGGCCAGGGGAGGACAGCAGGGGAGTGGAGGAGAGCAGAGGGGAGGAGCTAAAAGACTTAACTTTTGTTTTTAACAACCGGAGTGAACAAGACTATTAGTTTTAATCAAAGAACAACATTGAGTTTCATCCATACCTGAGGGTGCTTATTCTAAAGTAAAACATTTAAAAAAAAAAAAAGCTAAATTTGAATCCGTACCAGTCTTCAGTTTAATCAGAACTGATACCTGAGAGAAGTATTAATTTTTCTGACTTTAGGGAGCAGAGAGTAACCGGAGTGACTGTCTTCCTCCTGACTGGTCTATCTGTCTTCATGGCGCCCATTCTGAAGGTAGAACACACACACACACACACACACACACACACACACACACACACACACACACACACTTACCTTCTGTCTTAAAGACTCCAAAAGTCGGTAGACAACTGCTCGTTCAGAGTGTCTTCTGAAATCAAGGGTATTTGTGCTGCAGTAACAGCCTCTACTCTTCTGGGAAGGCTTTACTCTAGATGTTGGAACACTGCTGTGAGGATTTGATTGAGCATTAGTGAGGTCAGGTACTTATGTTGGATGGTCAGTTCTGGATCACTTCAGCTCATCCCAAATGTACTGGATGGGGCTCCATCACACCAGAGAACACAGTTCCACTGCTCCACAGCACAATGCTGGGGGCTTTATACCCCTCTAGCCCACGCTTCGCATTGGTCATAGTGCCATTAGGCTCATATCAGAGCATCCTATTCTAATGGTCATTGCTTTTCTATGGAGAGTATAGTCGCCACTGGGTTGAATCAGGGAGTGACTGCTGTGCCGTGTGAATGATTCACCTGCAGGACGGGGCAGAAGCCGAGAGACGAGAGAGACACAGACCTTAATTCAGTGTTTTCACTCCAGGCTTGGAGCCCCTGCACACCTCGTTCAGCTCAGCTCTGCACTAGCAAACTTACAGAATCACGTCTGTCAAAACACGACGTCGTTTTCCGATCCACGACATTCAGTCTGATATTTAACGCTTATGTTTCTCCATTCAAACATCATTTAAATCTCCAGAAACAGAGAGTGAAGTTATACCGGCTGTCTGCAGCTCCGTTAGGGGGGCGACTGTTCATCTCTCGGCTGTTAACATCAGCTAAAGTGATCTAAAGGCCAGCACTGTTCACATCTGTGTTAATTAGCTGATGTCGTTACCCTCCTATGATGACAGAGTGTTTCTCCTCTTTATGAACATCATGGGATCCTTTACCCACCCTGACGTGAAGAGCCAGTGGGCTTCTGTGCTTTTAAATGCTGTGAGAGTCTCTCCAGAATAGGCAGAGGGGCTGAGTATGAGATCAATATAAATGTCAGGAAAACACAGATTTGGTATGTTTCTGCCAGTTTAAGTGGGATCAGGAGTTCAGGGGAAACTGTATAAGATCACAGCCTGTTTTATTGACTTTGTCGAGGAACGTTTTTCTCTTCCAAAGTAAGGAGAGTAATTTTAGCCATCTTTCACCTCTAGTTACATTTGTGTTGAGCGGCAAAGCCAGACATTTGGTCTCAAATATGGCAGCCACAACTGAAAAATCACGTGACTGAAACCCTCGGATACAAGCAGTGTGTGCGCGCATTTGAAGACCTGTGTCAGCAGTGGGTGCACCTTTTTTAGAAGTCTGGATTCGTTTGGATATTTGAACATATCTAAGAACAGTTTCACCCTTTCTATTCTACTAAGCCTAATTACATGGATGGAAGAAGTTCTTGATGAATGAATCTGAACCAGTAGATATAGGCTGTGTGTGTGTATTTGAGAGAAAGAGAGTGACCCGTCTTTCCAGCGATGTCTAAAGGAATTGGAGTAAGATCCCTATATGTATCAGATTACCCTCTCCAGAACAGTACCAACAGCTGCCCACTAGTGGCCATATATATACCGCACAGGTTTAATGGGGCATGAATGGTTCATTGAACTCCACAGTGGAAGATGCAACCCTAAACGTATGCCAGGGTCAGGCTTAGGACACCACGAGGATGAGCTCTGGGCATTACCACACCTGATTAAGGTGCTGCCGTAACCTTTGATCTAAAAAATGATTCAGCACAGTGTGTTCTACATTTAAATCAAGCCAGCTTACAGGCATGCACTGGAGTCCTGTGTCGTGTGTTTTAGAGTATTTGAGTAGTTGATTAACAGTAAACATCTATAAAAATAATATACTTAAAAATAGAAACTAAATATATAGTAATATTTGAAGTGCATACATGCTTTAATACAGGAATCATCACATTCATCTTATATAAAATAGTATTCATCATAACATGTAAATGTGAGTAGCCTAAATCCAGTATTGTTAGTTTAAAGGGCCTATATTCTATTTTTTTTACATTTTATATTATCGTTGGTGTGGTTTTATATACCGAAAACAGTCATAATTCACTTTTACATGACCGTTTTCTAGCCTCTCTTTATCTCTCAGAATTAAACAGGCTGTTTTGTTTTACTGTACCTTTAAGACTGAGGAAAGAGGTGAGGAAAAAAATTGTTTTTTGTTGATATGGGCCTTGTGATTTTGCATATTTGTCTGATCTGCTGCAGCAATATGAGCCAAGCAGAACTCTCAGATCATTCATTAGTTAATTGGCCTGTATTAGTCCCACAGTGGGGAAATTTCACCTCCACATTTTAGCCCATCTGTGCAATGAAACACTACATACACACAAGGGGGCAGTGAGCACACTTGCCCAGAGCGGTGGGCAGCCCTATCCACAGGGACCGAGGAGCAGTTGGAGGTTAGGTACCTTGCTCAAGGGCACTTCAGTCATTTCCTGTCCGCTCTGGGTATTAAACCAGCGACCATCCAGTCACAAGGCTGGTTCCCTAACCTCCAACCCACGACTGTCCCCAGGAACTGGTGAGTTAGTCCTGCTGAAGGTGAAGACTAAACATGGAGAAGCAGCGTTTAGCTACTATGCTGCTCTTAAATGGGCCCAGTTGGACACTTTAAATCCAGGCTCAATATAGACTCAATATGGACTCTGTATTTTCTCATTTGTAAGCACTTTGAATGACAGCAGTGTATGAAAGGTGCCATTTAAATAAACTTACCTTGTAATGATAAATGAAATTATGGCTCAAGCAGAATTAAAGTAGCGTACCAAAAAAAGGTTGAATAAGAGTAAAAACGTATTCAAATATTCTGCAGAAGTGTAGTTGAACATCCAGCATCTATCAGCTTAGAAGTTAAGTACTATTCATCTCCTTTGGATCCTTTTGGTATCAAGCAAAATGATAAACACTATGATTTCTCCGCCCTAAATACAGTTACATCTGACTAATTAAACTCTCTTTTTAATCAAACACGCAGTTGGTCAGCGTTCTTTAAGTACCGACAGTATCCACTGTGTGCTCAGACAAGCATATTGAGCATCTTGATAATGATATAATTATGATTTGATAATACTCCCATCACAAATATCAAAAAATTAACATGTAACTGAGTAAATGTAACTAGCCAGCTCTGATCATATGAAACTGACCCCAAATCAGCTCTCTGACTTTGGTGAGGTCAGTAAATAGGACCACAGGGTTTTATCAGCTTTGACCCGATTGCAATTGGCTGAAGTGGCCATGGTGTGGAGAACCATGGGCCGGTCTCAGCCTTATCAGCCTGGCTGATCTTATCTGAGAAGGACGAAAGGTGGAATAAACTTGGGTGAAATTTTAATCTGCCAAGCAGCAGCACTGAGGCCATCATTTATGGGAGCATTCCAGAAAGTTTTGGGTCTGTGTTTCTCTGTGTGTGTGTGTGTGTGTGTGTGAGACTAGTGCTGGGTAGGGTGGCTTAGTAGATTTTTCCATTGCACATGTTCTTAGGAACACCACTGACCTTTGCCCTATTCTGACATTTGATCCCGTTATCTATGGTAATGTCAGAGATTGGGTAACGTCTTATACTGGGACGTCTATGGTAATGTCAGTGGGTTCACATCACACATCATCAATATGCACACATATACAAAATGTCTGTATATTTTGGTGGTTTAATGTATTTGTTTTTGTTTATGTTGTGCCTTCACAATATTTGTGCTTAGGCTCTGTATTTGTTGTTTGTGCTTTTGTGTGTTTATGGTGTTATCTCATGTTGTGTGCTGCTCGTTTGTGCTTTTGTTTATGTCTAATCTCTCTCTCCAGTTCATTCCCATGCCTGTGCTGTATGGAGTCTTCCTCTATATGGGTGTGGCCTCTCTGAACGGAGTGCAGGTGAGTCTGCTGAAGTTTGGGCCCATAGGTGTTGTGTTGCTGCGCACATATTTCCACGAATATAACACACACACACTTTCACAGACATAGTCACTTGTTGTACAGGACACCTCTATATGTTCCAGAGGAGCGACCGCGTGTTACGAAAGTAATTTCTTCACACCTGGCTAGTTAAAAACAGTCCTCAGGATGACTTAGAATGAAATTATCATTATTAAAGCTCACATGTGGAATGTATTTCTCTCTCTCTCAACCTGTGTGTGTGTTTGTGTGTAGTTTATGGATCGTTTGAAGCTGCTGCTGATGCCAGCGAAACACCAACCAGATCTAATCTACCTGAGACACGTCCCACTCCGCCGAGTTCACCTCTTCACCTTCGTACAGGTGTGTATCTGCTGTGTGTGCGGTGGAGTGGCCTGACCGGTATGAACATTTATTGGACGGTGACAATTTTAGGGGGGCTTAAAATTCCGTCAATAACATTGATAATACAAGCTGATATAATTTTATATTTTATATTTTTTGCATTTTAATTTTTAACTCTGATATTTTTAGTTGAACAGTGACATATGATTAAACTACAAAATGTCATAGTATTAATATTAATATGTTGTTATACTCTACTGTTGCACAAATTCTATTTACTTTGCCTTTTTTTGTGAGTCATTTTTGTGATATTTTCTATTTAAAGAATAACAACCCACTCATTCCAACCCAGACCCACACACACAGGCCTTACAAAAAAAAAAGTCATGGCTACAACATAGGACACATGAAAATACAGTTACATCATTCACAACTTAAACACAGCATATAGTTAAACAAGCACAAGGGTCCTGATTTTAGAAATTCCCTAAATCCATGTATCAAGAGTTCTAGGGGCAGCATTGCTAATTCTTGCTGATGACAGCTCCAGATATAGGATATCCAGTAAGGCATGGAGCCAGTGCCATATGGACAAATTGTGAGGGGGTAGCCTTTGCTGGACAGTGACTTTTTTGGCTGGGACTTTTTAGGCCAGGAAGCCGTATTTTCCTGGAACTTTCCGTAATGGGGAACTTAGAGTTATCATTCAGTAAATGAAGTTCAGGGTCCATGGGGAAGTATGTCCTGGTCAGAGAAGAGATAGAATCAACAACCTCCTCCCAAAAAGCATGAACTTTTGGGCAGTCCAACATAATGTGCATAAAAGTCCGCAGAGTCCCATGTGGACAGAAAGTACTGAAGTGTCTCACCCTGGGTGTCAGATAATACTTTGCCTTTTTATTATTTATGTCTAAAAACGAAGCTGAAATACTTAGAGGTAATGAAAAACATCACTGATGAAAAACTATTTTCATGGCAAGTAGCATAAAACGCTAAACTGGGTGATCCTGTACAATCTGGCAACGCTCAAAGGTCCATGATGCTGTTTGAACGTGTCATTGTTAAGCGGCGCAGCAGAAAAAGCAGTATCTTTTTAAATATTGTATATAAAAACGAAAAAAATAAAATATAAAATGAAAACATTTATCAGTGGACAGGAGAGTGACCATAGCGTGGATTCTTTATGATGAAGATGTCTTAAAAATGCTTTCTGCTGGAGCAAATACTGTACGGGCTTATTACTATTTTTATTATTTAAGAATTATTTTGCTTTTCCTCTGAACAGCTCAGTAGACCTGCATGCTCTCCTGCATTCTCAGAATAAGGGTCAAAGTCAGAGCTTACTAGCTGGTTAGCGATCTGGAGAAGTAGGAACCTTATTTTGACTTCACATAGAGTTAAAACTGATTGTGGATCAGACAGTTAAGGATAGCGTGTTGTCAGCTGTGCTTATCTCCAAAGAGTCTGAGAACTGGGAGCTGGTGACCAGCAAGTTTAACCTCATAAACAAATATTTATTCCCCAGTGTATTATTGAAAGTGGTAATAGTGTCAGTCATTCGAATGGCTTTTACTTGTATTTTACTGGTCGAAATTATGAAATATTATTGAAAGCTTGTCGCAGCCCTGATAAGTGTGTATTTGTCTGTTCTTGTAGGTTCTTTGTCTTGCCCTTCTTTGGATCCTGAAGTCTACTGTAGCCGCCATCGTCTTCCCAGTCATGGTGAGTGTAGCACGTACCAGATGCAGGAACAAGTCACTAAGTTGCAAGTAACAAGTAAATCTCAAGTCTTCACACTCAAGTCTCGAGTCAAGACAGTCGAGTCTCGATTCAAGTCCCGAGTCAATAGTCCTAACCTTCGAGTTCTAAATCAGTCTGCATTCTTCAGCTAATTTAAGGCCACAACACTGAATAATGGTAACAGTAGTACAGCCTTTTAAGGACAGCACATTAGCAGTGTGTGGCTGTAGATTCATTTTTTATATTATTATTATTTTACCCTTTCAACTAAAACACAAAATCCGTGGTAAACAGATAACTATGACAGGTATACACAAAGAGTAGTGCTTCATATTTAAAGATAATTTTTGATGACATTGGACACACTTAAAATAAAAACTAGCTCAGCACTAAAACCAGCTCAGTCAACTAAAACCACCGCTAGTTTGAGTTGAATTCAGACGTAAACGGAAACTAAAACGACTAAGCTGAACAAAGTTTACAGAAAAGAGCAAAATGACGGTGAATGTACGAAGCTGAGATTGACTTTTCTTTTTCAGCAGCTTCTTATTTGAATTTTCCGTTCCACCTTTGCTACACCATTTAAGGTGGAACGGCAAATTCCAGTATAAAGCTGGTGAATAACAAGTCAACTCCAGCTTCGTGGTGAATGCTGCGCTTGTTTTACCTGCAGAAGCTGTTAAAATCGGTCGAACAGAGACGCTGCGTTTCTTTTGTTTTGCTGCTGTGAGGAAAATGGTCAGTTCGCCTGGTGATATTCTCGAGTAAGACTGGAGTTTAAGTGCTGAGGGCGCATTGACGCTGTTGATGCTTCACTTGTTTCCAACTTGAGCTCTGACACTTGTCTTGTCTTCCGAAGTAACTCTCCACGCCTCTTCCACTTTGAGTCTCGAGTCTTTCCAAGTCATGACGTTCAGGTCAGAGTCAGAGTCCGGGTCACTGGTGTTGAAGTCAAAGTCGAGTCCCAAGTTTTTCTCGATTTTTTTTTTCAAGTTGAGTCTAAAGTCATCAAATTCGTGACTCGAGTCTGACTCGAGTCCAAGTAATATGACTCGAGTCCACACCTCTAGCACACACAGTTTCCTAATGGTTGTGTTTGGACTTTGTGTTCTAATTCTTCTCTCTCTCTCTCTCCTCTCTCTCTCTCTCTAGATCTTGGCCTTGGTAGCAGTGAGGAAAGCGATGGATTACGTTTTCTCTCAACATGATCTCGGTTACCTGGACGACGTCATGCCAGAGAAAGACAAGAAGAAGAAAGAGGATGAAAAGAAAAAGAAGAAGAAGAAAGGAAGCATAGACAGCGACATTAATGACGTAAGAAAATAATGCCCTGTATGTGGCTGTGCAAATATTATACCACTTGTGTGATTAGAAAAAAATTAAAATAAACAATATAGATATTGCCATGATCATTTGATAGTCAATCACATTGGAGAGTGAGTTCTTTTTAGTGAGATTGTCCCACCACCTGCGTTTACAGTCAGACTTTCCGGGCAATGAGAATATTCCAAGTATAAAGATCTCCATGGAGACGATGGAGGCGGAGCCAATGCTGGGGGAGAAACCCTCAGAGAGTGAGTAGCAGTCCAGGACCTGCAGTGTTGCTCCGCATTTGAATGCATGACGAGCTGCCAATCTCAGAGCTTTTAGAGCCAAATCAAGTAGGGCTGCAACTAATCATTTCTATTATTAACTAATCTGTTGATTAATAAACTAATCAGACCATTGCACACTTCCTGTAGTGTATTACAGTCTATCAGAATGACTGTGTGGATCATATGAACATTATAGAGGCTTTTTAAATGAAACAGTAGAAGCCATATCGCCCCCTACACTTCCTGTAGTGTATTACAGTCTGTCAGAGTGACTGTGTGGATCATATGAACATTATAGAGGCTTTTTAAATGAAACAGTAGAAGCCATATCGCCCCCTACACTTCCTGTAGTGTATTACAGTCTATCAGAATGACTGTGTGGATCATATGAACATTATAGAGGCTTTTTAAATGAAACAGTAGAAGCCATATCGCCCCCTACACTTCCTGTAGTGTATTACAGTCTATCAGAATGACTGTGTGGATCATATGAACATTATAGAGGCTTTTTAAATGAAACAGTAGAAGCCATATCGCCCCCTACACTTCCTGTAGTGTATTACAGTCTGTCAGAGTGACTGTGTGGATCATATGAACATTATAGAGGGCTTTTTAAATGAAACAGTAGAAGCCATATCGCCCCCTACACTTCCTGTAGTGTATTACAGTCTGTCAGAATGACTGTGTGGATCATATGAACATTATAGAGCTTTTTAAATGAAACAGTAGAAGCCATATCGCCCCCTACACTTCCTGTAGTGTATTACAGTCTGTCAGAGTGACTGTGTGGATCATATGAACATTATAGAGCTTTTTAAATGAAACAGTAGAAGCCATATCGCCCCCTACACTTCCTGTAGTGTATTACTGTCTGTCAGAGTGACTGTGTGGATCATATGAACAATATAGAGGCTTTTTAAATGAAACAGTAGAAGCCATATCGCCCCCTACACTTCCTGTAGTGTATTACAGTCTGTCAGAGTGACTGTGTGGATCATATGAACATTATAGAGGCTTTTTAAATGAAACAGTAGAAGCCATATCGCCCCCTACACTTCCTGTAGTGTATTACAGTCTGTCAGAGTAACTGTGTGGATCATATGAACATTATAGAGGCTTTTTAAATGAAACAGTAGAAGCCATATCGCCCCCTACACTTCCTGTAGTACAGCACTTAAACTTTGTCAGGCACTAATGTACTTGTAAGCTAATTGTTGCAGCCCTATTCTTAAGAGCTTTTCGCGTGGGCTTGGGTTTCTGTCAGAGTCTCTTACTCTGTCTTTCACTTGTTCTCTCTCTCTCCTTCTTGCTGTCTCTCCTGCTTTCTTGACTCATCAGTCTGCCCAGCTGCACCCAGCCCAGATCAAGCATCTGCACCAGTCATATTACTGGGTGGGCTTTACTTAACCTCTACATGGTGCACTGCTCACCATCTGCTAATGCTAACGCTGACACAGGGAATCTACTGGGGATAAGAACGTTTCTGCTGCTTCAGTTTGCCAACTTATTTTCTTCCTTGTGTGATTTGTGTGTAACTGTTTCTATGTCTGTGTTCATTTTACAGGAAATAAACCCACGTCTTTCCTCTCTCCATACTGATGGACTGCGGTTCTTTTCTTCCAAGTCTGCATCAAGGTAAAAGTGCGTAGTGCAACTGTTTAAGCCATCAGGAGATCGTGAGATCGATCTCTGGTGATGCCACAGTCCTCTGTGGCTGGGTGTCCAAGGCTACGTTCACATTCCCAAGCTGAAGTGGCACACATGTGATTTATGCCTTATTGTGACAGATCTAATGTTTTCAGATGTTTTCTATGTGGACACAAATCAGATCTGAGCCACTTTCATATCTGGTTGTAGATCAGATACAAATCCGATTCGTGTTTTTGTTTTTCACTGCACATGCGCTGACGTACAGTGTTCCCATGGCAGTATGCTTAACCTGAAGTCAGAGCCAGTAAACGCTGCAAAAGCATCTTTTACCTTCGTTTTGTTTTAATAAGGAACAGCCGAGAGCTGCTCAGAGTGAATTACACTCGCAATAAAGGCTCAATCTGCTGGTTAGTTTGTTGTTCATGATGCATGAGTTTCATTCACATGACGTAATTGATTAGGATGTTTGCATGCAGGTCGTTTCACATTATTTGAGTCACTTACCTGCATTAATGTGAACCATCAGGTTACAAAGATCTGATCTGAGCAAAAAATTGCAGGCGTGTAATGTGAACGTAGCTCTGTGTGGGCAGGATAGTCTTCCCTTTTTCCCATCCTTCAGCACGGTGCTAGCTAACCTGGGCGTCTGTTAGCAGAATTAGCAGTTAGTGTTCTCCTCCCAGCATGTTGAGCTGTCCAATCACGTTGTGATAGTGGCAGTTGACGTGGTGGCTGGCTCCTTAAGTCTTGGAGGAATGATGTGCTAACATTCACCTTCCCAGCCTGGCGGCATTGAGTGCGTATAAATGCACTCAATAATCCGATCATAATCGGATTTCTACAGTTATCTGATTATTCAAATGGTCATGTAAACACCATACTCCGATCTAGAAATCCGATAAAGAGAGCTGGATTTTAGCTCAGTAATCAGATTTCTCAGTGCATGTAAACTCATATCCGATTTCTATTGGATTTCTCAGCCTGCACATGCACAAGATCAGACGGTGGATGTTGCCACATGGCAGCAAAACACTTCTGGAGCGACGCAGAACCCAAACATGAAATGAAGGACTTAAATATTCTTCATCTTCTAGATGATGTATGTTCATATTTTCAGGTAAAGTGGGTCGATGTTTAAAAAAAAGCCGTGGCATGAAGTTTGAGTTTTACGTTGCGTTTACGTCACGTCGTCTTCTGTGAGTTTATTGGCTGGTTGCAAAGCAGAAATCTGATTACTGTCTGACTCATGTAGACCTGGAGTTTCCCCATTTTCTGGTTACTCAAGTGCATGTAAAGTTGTTGATCGGATTACTGACAAAATCTGCAGTTATCTGCAGTTATCAGATTAGTAAGTGCATGTAAATGTGATAGGGGGAGACCTAGCCCCCTAAACTGACTAAATTGGGAACGAAACTGTGTAAGAATAAAAAATAGAGAATTCATTGTAGCAGCTTGCATATCACAGTAAGAGAAAATCGTCTTTAATGTCTTTCTCTCTCCTCCCAGTCAGGACCTGAACCCCTTTAAGAAGACCGTGGCTCAGATCCGAATTGATGTGGACAACAAAGACACCAAAGAGAACAGGTTCTTCTGGAAAGCTCCGACTGACGAAACATCCCTGTGAAAATCTTAGCCATTCCTTTAGTCCTTTAATCTATTAAACCATGTACACCAGCTCAGGACTGATCACATGACCAGGCTGAATATCTTCCAGCGAAAATTGCTTATCAGATATCAGTCACTGGTTCAGTAAGACCCAAAAGTGTTGGTGGGACCTACAGTTCACTACTGCTGCACTCCGTCAATATTTGATCTGGAACCAGGACTATATTTAAGACGCTTCTCATTAAGGCCTCCACATATGTGTATATTAAGGAATGAATGATTTAGAGATCAGAATCTTTAAGAGCTGCTAAGGAGCAGACAAAACTTGACATTTCAATCACCCGACATCTCCCGTCTTCTTTTGATCAATCTAAATAACAGAATCAGGTTTTATGAATCTCTTTGGCCAAATTGTTAACCTGATCGAGCACATCAGATCAAACAGAACTGTAAAAAAGGCTGTTTTTTAAATCTTTCCACAGTCATTCTTTTTAAGCATATAGCAAAATCCTTTGTATATAAAATTTACTAAAATCCTTCCTGCACTTAACAGCTGCCGGCTGAGTTCCAGCTGTTTTCTTCCTGTAGAGGGGAAATCTTCGGTGTGAATATTAACCTTGACTCGTAGCTCTACCTCTTAGGACGTTATAGGTGCCAGGCACTACGATCGACGAAGCGTCGGTGTCATTGTAAGAGTGGGCACAATGTAGGATGTCTCTATGAAACATTCTGTCTTCTTGTTATCATCAGTAATAACGACCTTCCCGCTGCTCTTCCATAACTATGCAAACGACAATCAAAATCAGTGGGGAGGCTTTCTTGAAGAGATTAAAATGTGATTTTATTACGCGTATGTACTTTTCAGCAGTTTATGGGTAATTTTATTACTGTGTGTGAATATATTTTTACTGTACTTCATTTTTTAACAAAGAGATGATTTAGCTAGGCTGCTTAGTCTTTTATACTGACGGAAACCGATGACTTTTGAACGAGATGACAGTGTGGAATATGTAGCCACACCATCAAAGAACAATTGTAAGTCCTTATGTGTAAAATTTGAACTTAAAAACTGCCATTATTCTGAAGCGCTATATGCGATTTAAACTAATACTGTGATTCAACAGGTTTTAGATTTTCCTTGATTATTTTTTTCAAAAAGAAATATTATCAGATGCAGTCTTCCTGTGATCAGAGATAACAAATCATCTCAGATTGTCTTCCCGTAACACGCCTAGACATTTCTTGTAGTCAGACAAACTGTACTGTTTAACTGTATTTCTTCTGTCTGGACGAGCTGTGTGCCAGCATGTGATTGTTCACCGAAAGTGGAATTTGGAAACCAGGACAAGGCGCAGGAGTCGGTATAGAGGGGCTCTCTCATCTTGAGACATCTTGGTAGCACCCGTTTTGGCTCAGTTCTTGTGGGTGGACTGTATGGCACTGGCCGAAGGACAAGCTGGAAATGATTAAGACGAGGTTTTGGGTGCCTCAACTTTGCACCCAAAGGCACAGCGAGAACGTTCAGAACCAAACCCTCACATTTCAGTAGCTGGACGACTCTTCGGCTGCCGTGACGGACTTGAAGCAGCGGAGAAAAGGACTGCATGCGGGTGAATGTTTTCACAGCAGATGTGCTGCTGCAGTGGACAGTCTCAGAGCAAAGCTCTTGCACTGCTGAGATGCAGGTTCATCTGTATATTTTTGGAAAATGTAACTGAACGTTAAGCACTTCTCTCTTTCGCTGTCCTTTCGGCTTCTCTGACTAACGTGTTTTATTTTTGCGATGAGCCTCTTTTAAAACGTTCTTATGAAAGTATTTATTGAATCTGTTCTTCTGTTCCTGACGTGGCATTTCTCACAGCAGTCTGATATTCTCTGACAATGAAGGAAACGCACTATTCAAATGAACTTGATTGCCCGAGAATGCCGCAGAGCTCGTATTATAAAATATCCATTAACTCACTTATGATCAGAGGACGGTATTATGATGTCTGTAATCCTAGACAGATTTTGCAATCAGTTCTCATATGATTTGTGTATGTTGTTCTTTTTCCCTCCAATCAGTTGTTATTGGCTTTGTGACTAAGCCGACACTACAGATATATATATTTTTCTTGAAATGAAAGTGGAAAATAAAGACTTTGAAGACTGTTGGTTTTGGGGGATTTTGTTTTCTTCATAAAATATTCCAGGTAATATTTTGGTTATACATCCAGATAACAGTCAAACCCTATAGAAGGAGAGATGAGAGACGTTTTGTGCAGTCTTCCCCTTGGGTTTATGCAGTTCACCAGGTCTTAGATGCTCTGAATCCAAAATTATCCAGACACTCCTAAATATTGAATTCAGCTACTTTAATGCGCACTATAAGATGCATTGACCAATAGAGCAGTGGAAATGTGTTCCCTGCAAATAGATCCAACACCCATGTTTTTCCAATTAAATGATCTGCGTCAGGGGTCGGCAACATGCTCTGGAGCCACATGCGGCTCTTTTACTGGCCTGTTGTGGCTCCACAGCAGAATCAGATTTGTAGGTAAAAATAAAATAATCCTCCTTTACAGTAAAATAAAGCTCTGCTGATCGTTCAACACAGTTTAACACTAAATGGTCTTAAACTCTGGAGTTAATGTAGAACTGCTAATTCACCCTTTAACCCTGAAGATCAGCGCAGACTGCTGGTCACCATAGCAACGACAACAATCTGGCCTGGCTAGTAGCGAAACGGCAAAGAGAAAGATTTAAGATGAACATCGAAAATCTGGAGACGAATGAACTTATTTGTGTTTATAATCACTCCAGCTGGTTTCCTGATACGTTTAATCTGCAACGAGAAACTGAAACACTAAAAACTTGCAAGGCTGAATTCAGCTTCTTGTTTCCGTTCCACCTTAAATGGCGCAGCGGTTACATTCTGCCGCCTCAGGTGCCATTTAAGGTGGAACAGGAGAATTTGAACAAGAAGCTGGCGAATGAGAAACAACTTCAGCCTTGCAAAAAAATCGAACATTGAGAGACATTTTACAAAAAACGAAAGGAAAATTTTCCTGCTGGAGATGCGAGAAAAGCAGCTACAGCTGAGCTAATGCTTAAACCAGAGCAAAGTAAGTCTGTGTTTTCGTTTATATTATGGTTTTAAGTTTATACTAGAACATCAGCACATATTAAGCCATACTGTCAGCCAAGATGGTGAAACATTACTTCAATAAAATAGACATGAAATGCTGTGATTTGATTTTTGTTGAAAGGACAAAATGGCTCTTCTAAACATTTGGGTTGCGACTCCTGGTGTAAATGTGGACAGTCATTCGGAGGGGTTTGATGTGCTCCCGTTCTAGAGTCCCAGTTGCTCACAGAGGTGGTGTTAGGAACCAGACATTACCATTATTACAGGTAAAGGTAATGAATACACTCTGTGAAATTATTTTACGATCATTTTATGAAGGTTTCGGCCTGAAGTATGTTGAGAGTGGAGACGTACGTGCAGAGCGCTGTGAGGCAAAGTAGTCCCCAAAGTCGACTGTTTTTTTAGATTTATCACCATTTCACCATCATCAACATGCCGTATAAGACTCAGAAGACTTGTGTAGGTTCACTGGTGGTTGTGGATAGTAAATAAAATGTCTATATCTGTGTTGTAGTCATGGTGACCCCTGGTTCCTATCACCACCACTGTAAAGACATTTGAACCATTTCACACCAAACCACTCTGAATCTCTCTGTTTACATCTCATTTGGTGGAATTCCCCTTTAACACCCTTGAATTTAGAAGAAATGCTGAATTAGTAGGTGATTACTACTGTTAGGCTTAAAACCCTCCTACAGCTTATCCCTCTAGTTGACCGTAGCCCAACCCTGTTCTATGAAATGCACCAGACTTCAGAGATTAGCTCCAACCCTAATCTTAATCCTCAACGCATTTGATCAGGCTAATCAAGTCTTTCAGGAGCTACTGAGTATCAAAGGCAGGTGTGTTAGAATGCTTTTCTGGATAGTGTAACTGCGGGAGTTGCTGCACCTTCTACTAAAGCCTTTATTTACACAGGAAGACATATGGCATTGTTGAATTAGTCATGAGGCTGACTCATATGCTTCAGTCTTACATGTTACTGCATGCAGCATCATTTCTTTAGCTGAATACGCTACCTGCTGGGACAGAATCCAGCCATTTTAAAAGGGGAATTGACTGAAATCTGAAATGACTTTTTACAAACAAGCAAAGTTTCAGTTTAAGATTTATTTGCAACTTAGTTACAAATTTAAGTTTAATAAAAACTTTAAACTCAGATTCACAAATGAGTTTCCTTTACTAAACTGCATCTGTAGGTCTCTGTTCATAAACATAAACTAGCCTAAACTAATTTACTATAAAATGAAATGTGTTTGTATAAATTCAGAAAAAAGACACGTCAGTCACAACTGCATATGAGTACATATTTCTATATTGTGGTCTGTTTACACAATTTAGGTTAGTTCATCATTTATGTTGAATAGACTCTCCCAAAATTTTACGCTGCTGCACTGATGTTGAACCGTGTGCTGCACTGGGTCGGTATGACCAACAGGTCAAAACAAGCTCAAAACAAAGTGACCCCTGTGCCCTGATTGGTTTTCTTACTTTGCGCTTCTTTCATTTTGACATGTTACGTTTTTATACACACATAAAACAAAAGGAACGACAGATTTCTCATAATGTAGTGGAGTAAAAAGTGAGATATTTGACTTTGAAATGTAGTGGAGTGAAAGGAAAAAGTTGCCCAAAATGGAAAAACTTCAGTAAAGTACAGATACATGAAAAACTACTTAAGTACAGTAACTCATTACATTTACTTAGAAACTGTCCACCACTGCTCCTACGCATCAATAAGTCAAGGCCATGCATTACTTTTATTTATGTCTGAGAGATTATTTTATAATAGTCTTCATAATAATAATAAGAAGAAGAATAAAACATTTTTTATTTATATAGCACTTTTTTCATGCTGGTGGCAGCTCAAAGTGCTTTACAGACAGGAGATAAAGCTTAATAGTAATACAAGAAATTATAAGTATTAATGTAGAATCATAAGAAA